ACTGACCTGAGCCTTTATAATCTAACTGTATGCAGGTTACCATGAGAGCAGGGCTCAAGGGTATAATACTCCGTGCGCATGAATATGAATTATTCCAGATAAGTATGCATTTGATATTTAAAGCCTCGTGTACACGTAGCAAGACTTCTGCCTGCTCTATGTACTGATTACTGATTCACCTTCATTTTGACCGTTCTGGAAGGAGAGCTGTGTTTCTGAGCCATCCCTAGTTAAGATGAAAGAAAAACTTTATTCACCTTGATCGTGCCCTGAATCTTTACCCATAATTCCTGGAGTAGAACTCTTCTATTCTACAGCTACTCATAGGCATAATTCTAACTTTGTTTGGTTTCATAGAAAAATGTCTTTTGGCATAGATGGCTTCTCCTTTAAACCTAAATACTGTTTTGATCATCAATCCTAGAGTTCAGCTCTGGAAACCCTGTTTCTTTCCTCTTGGGTGTGTGCCCTATGTTCAGAGGTGACACACGAGAAATTTTGCCTGGATAAATATGGGCAAGTGCAGAAGTGAGAGCCACATGGACTGCCTAGGTGGTTGGTGTCACACAGCATCATGTGGACAGATTGGTCCCTGAGATGTCCTTCTTTCCTGATGTTAAGTGGACAGCTTATTGTTTCAAGGGCCATGCTAACAAATGTCAGCCCCCAGGATTAGCCAGGGACACATGCTTCCTGACCCAGGAAAGGTGACAGTTGAGTTACAGCATCTACTGGGAGCAGAATTACATAAACCTCAACAATGTATCTGTTGGTCCTTGGAATTAATTGTCAAGTGACTGCCTGAGAAACATTCTGATTCCAGTGTACTGGGGGTGACTGCCTGGGTGAAGTTCTCTCGTTCTCTCTCTCTCTCTCTCTCTCTGTGTGTGTGTGTGTGTGTGTGTGTGTGTGTGTGTGTGTGTGTGTGTGTGTGTGTGTCCTCCCTTTCTCTCCCCCCTCCCTTCCCTTCTTCTTGGCCCTAAGTATACTTGTTATCAATGTGTTTCATTCCACTCACAGCAGGGCAGTGAGTTGCTTTGAGGGCAAAGTGTTCTGGTATCCTCTGGTCTTTAAAATAAGGCAGTGCCATCATTTTGATGGAAAAGACAAACTGGTGACTGTTGCTTCCTCACCCAGTAGGGATTTCTGAGGGCTGTACCACAATATCTCGGTGGCATCAGCTCTGTGGGACTCAAGACTTTCAGTTACCATTGAGTCCTCACGGTGTGTACAGGATCCAAAACAAAAGCAAATGATTAATTGTATATTGAAAGAAAGCCATGGAAGGGAAACATGGGCAGTGTATCTGTGACTTTCAGCATCTTCCCATGTACTGGCTACAAGCCACAAGACACAGCAGCATGTGACTCCTCTGCCAACATATCCTGGATCTGAATCATGTTCCTTGATATCAGCAGAACCCATCTTCTACCCTCAGTGTATGCACATCTGGATGTGCAAAGTATGTGACTAGCCACAGGGGCCAGACTGCCAGAGGTTAGAATCATGCCCCTGCTCTTTAATGGCCCACGTGACTGGGGCTGGTTATTTAACCCATGTGCCTTCTTTTCCTCAACTTTCCGATAGGGATGGTAATGTTGATAGCACTTGTCAGCATCCCTGGGAGGAAAAAATGAGTTGCTAGCATGTGAGACACAGCAGGCCTGACATATGTTAGCAGGTACTACAGCTTATTTATGAGTTACAAAGCACATCCAATGTAGATATTTTAAAGAAATGGGTTGCATATGAAAAGGCTAGAACAGCTAAGTTTCCCTTTACCTCTGATGCTCAAGAACATACTTTGAGTTTTTGTTGTTGTTTTCTATTTTGGAATATTTGCATATTTATAATAAGATATCTTTGGAATTCACTCATGCACATAGCTCTAAAGTAATTCTGTATGTCTTTAGTGCAACTGCTTTGACTGTAGCCAACCTATAAGGTCTGATGTGGGATTGGTCACTGGTAATGGACTTTTGAGCATTACAGGTTACGGTTTTTTAGATTAGAGATGTTCTGTCCATTTTCATTTCACTTCTCCATCAATCTGCCTAGGGCCCTTAATTTTGAATATCACAGTTGTAGGAGTCAAGCAAATTATTCCTCTCCTTCTCCAGGAATTATAACATCCCTGACCTCTGGTTGACAAAAGTTAATGTGGTCATGCCTAGGCCATTGTGTGTTGGCTCACTTAGTATAGGAAGTGGTCTTCCCAGACCTCTCTTTGATAAATTAAGAAACAAACAAACAAACAAAAAGAACCCTGCTGTTATTCTCATAGTGTCTTTGGATTAGGTGTTGGATGGTAGCATAGTGAGCTGCCAGCCTGGGAAGAGGGGAAGGGCAAGTGGGAGGCGGTAGGAAGATGACTGAGCCTGAACGCTGGTCTCTACCCACAGGGAGTTCTCGTGGCCAGGCAGGCTCTTCTCCAGCCAGAGGGTTTTAGGAGTGCAGCCCCTCATAGCTGTGTGGATAGCTTCTAGTCCTTGCATAGTCAGGATAGTAAGATAGGTAAGAAGGTCACAGCGGTAAACCATGGAAATGAAGGCAGGATCTAGGTTACAGCTGTATCCAGGCATAGCCTGGATTCAGTTACTTCCTTTTTAATAAATCATCTCAGGGCTTTGAAGGAGACTTAGTCTGCTGCGAGAGTGCAATTTGGAAAATGTACCTTCTTGAAACTGATCATGCCATGATTCCTGGCCACTTGTCCTGATCAAAGATTGTCCCAAATATCCTTCAGCACATCTCCTGCCTTCCTCCCAGCCAACCCAGTGAAGGAAGGTGTGTCACTGGGTAGCCCCACTTTACAAGTGAGATTAATGAAAACCAGAGCTCAAACCAAAGACAGACCATACAGACCTCATGGTCTGCCTTCCAGCCTCCTCACCTCATGCAGCCACAGAGAATAAAACACTCGGGAGAGAATGTAGCAAAGTCCAGTGCCAGCTGGATACAGTGTTACTGCATCCCATGTCCCGGTCAACATCATAAGAGTTACACTGCAGAACATTTATTATATTCCGATGGCTATCTTTCGCCTTGGTCCCACATCACCTACAAGATGCTCAATAATAAGGACACTTGGAGTCTGAGTCAGGAATCTTGCAGGGGTGTAGAGCTTGTAAATGGTAGATGGTGGTTGGGCGGGACTTTAACAGACCTGGTTGGCTTGACTCAAGTGCTCTGATCTGAACCTTATCGCTGAGATTTGAGAAACCTCAGAGGCTTGAAGTAGAAGGGTTGGGGTAAAAAGATTCTCCTAAAACCATACAAGTCCTGCTAACAGGACTAGAACCCAAAGGCAGTCCTCAGGATTGCCTTGGTTGATGGTGAGATAGAAACACACTGACTCTTTGGTCCACTTAAACCATAGCCTGGAGGTAGGGAAAGTGGTTCAGTTGATGGAGTGCTTACCCAGCATGCACTAAGCCCTGGAATCCATCCCCAGCACCATATAAACCAGTTTGGCCCTATATGGATATAATCCCACCACTACAAAAGTAGAGGCAGAAGGACCAGAAATTCAAGATCATCCTTGGCAACAGAGAAAGCCTGAGCTACAAAAGGCCCTATCTGAAAATAAAACAGCCTATAGGGAAGTGACTGTGCATGTTTATTCATGGAACAAATATTTGTTGACAGCCCTGTCCTCAGCCACATGAGAGGTACTCTCTCTCTCCTGAGAGTGCAGGGTGTCTCTCATGGTAGTATTAGCTTGCCCTGGTGCTCCAGGAACGTGGGGGCAGGGTTGGGGTGGGGTACAGAAGAAGCAGTTCCTCAAGAAAAAAGGATCGGCTTTTGGTGAGAGGCCAAGAGGCCATTCAAACTGCTTGGGGTGTTAAACCGATTATGAGATTAAACTGGTTTGTCAAGGTAGAGAACGGACTGCTGAAGGGTTCCAAGAATGAATCAGGATTTATCTTCTGAAATGGAAGCAAAGGTGGGTAGGAGGGCACAGAGGCCAGAAGGAAGTTGTTAGTTAAGTAAGAGTTGTGGTGCGGCGGGCAGTGTGTTTCCTGTGAGTTGAGGTCAGCATCGCAGTTTCTCTTTCCATTGCCGTCATCAGGGGATGCAGCTTTGGCGGCATCTTCCAACCTGAGGATTGGTAAGTCGGAACTTTGAACTGTAAACCATTACATCAAATCTCTGGGATTAACCCAAATCCCCCAGATCAACAGTGTAAGCGCTCACTCATTCCATTGTAGGGCTTTCCTGAAACCGGCTGATTGAAGCATTTCATTTCTGTCCCTGTGTGAAGCGTGGTGGCTAGCCAGGCCTGGTTGCACACACCTGTAATCCCAGCATTCAGGAGGCAGAGGCAGTAGGATCTGTGAGTTTCAGGCCTGTGTGAGCTACTTAGTGAGACCCTGCCTCCGGCCAACAAAGATGGTTTTTGCTTGCGTAGCTCTTTGCCTTGTGTGTTAACTAGAAGCTCCAGTGTGTGCAAGCTACATGTGTGTTCTCTCAAACCTATTGCACGCCGAGTCGAGGCTGGAAGGAAATTGAGGCGGGTTGCCAGAGAGGTGGCAAGTAGATCTGTGCCTGAGTGGCTTCTCCCTTTCTGACCCAGAGATGCCTCATAACAAGCCCACGAGGCAGACTTGGCGCACCAACCCTCACATTGAAGTGATAGGGTTGCCATGTGTTCTGTCCTTGTCCAGGGAGGGCCACTGACTGCTGTTTTCTCTGACAGACTGATGACAGAAACTGGAGTGAAGTATTCAGAATAGGTGTTTGGGAGGGAGTAAAATGACATCTTCTCTCCGGTGTGGAACCTCAGGAAGTGGTCCGTGTATCAGGAGGAGTCCATGTGGGTTTGGCAGGACTCTTGGCTAGACTGCTCCCTGTGAAAAGTCATCCAGACCCACAGTGCTGCAGAGTCCCTGGCTCTGTGGACACGCATACCTGAGGGCGTGGGAGTTGTTCCTGCTATGAAACCAAAGCGGTACAGATGCCACTGCTGATAACTGGCCCTCTCTATCACTGCATTTTAGGGTGAAGAAGCTGAAGGAGACGTTTGCTTTCATTCAGCAGTTAGACAAAAACATGAGCAACCTTCGCACCTGGTTGGCGCGGATCGAGTCTGAGCTCTCCAAGCCTGTTGTTTATGATGTCTGTGATGACCAGGAAATCCAGAAGAGGCTTGCTGAGCAACAGGTGAGTGACAGGAAGAGGTAGTGGGAGGAAAGGTGGCACCATGGGATGCCAAGGGCAGGCCTGCCCTCACCTGTTCTTCTACCTGCCTGTGTCTCTGCCCTTGTGTGAGGCATTGGTCTCTGAATGCCTCCGTCCCCTTCACAGAGCTCTTTGTGAAATAGTTCAAATTATGTCGAAGATGCAGACACTAATTATGTTGCTCAGTGGGGTTTTTATTTTCGTCTTTGTTGTGTTTAACATAACTTTGAAAGGCAATGAATTGGGGGTACAATTCCTTTTGGGACTGAGGAAGTCTGTGTCTTGCTATGTAACCCAGACGGACTTCAGACTCTCGGCCTTCAGCTTTATCATATTGCTATGAGCTTGATAGACCTGTAGACCTGTGAAGAGAGAGCTGCCATTGAGGAACTGCCTCCACAGAGTGGTCTCTGGGCCTCCCCCGACCCACCCTCCCCAGGATCTAACTATGTAGCCCTGACTGGCCTGGAACTGACTATAGAGATCAAGGTGGCCTCAAGCTCCAGAGCTCCACCTGCCTCTGCCTCCTGAGTATTGGAATTGGGAGTGTATGTCCTCACACCTAGCCCTGAGACATTTTCTCAATTGCTAATTGATATAGTAGGGCCCAGCCTACTGTGGGCAGTACCATCCTTAGGCAAATTGGCCTGGGCTATATAAGAAAGGCAACCAAGCAAGCTAGGGAGGGAGATGGTAAGCATCCCTTCAGTGCCTGCCTTGAGTTCCTATTGACTTCCGTCAGTCATAGACTATATCCTGTATTCTAAATAATAAGCCTTTTCCTCCCAAGTTGCCTTTGGTCAGTGTTTTATCACAGCAACAGAGAAAGAAACAAGGGTACCCACCAACTACCATAACTAAAACCACGCACCATCATCCCTGGATACAATGTGCACACACCCTCTCCAACCAGTGCCTTTCATATGCTAGGCAAGTTCTCAGTCAAGACCAGAAGGGAACACCCCAGTTTTGTGTCTGTATGACAACAGCTCATGTTACCCAGACTTTCCTCAAACTAGCTATATAGCTGAGGGGAACCTTGAGCTTCTGGTCTTTCTGTGGGCTGAGATTTAAGGTGTGTCACCATCCCTTTCTCAGAAGATGCCCTTTAGTTGTCTTGAGTCAGGTCTATCTTTTATTATCTTAAAATTTTGTTGTTGTTGTTGTTATTGTTGTTTATTTTTGTTTTTCAAGACAGGGTTTCTCTGTGTAACCCTGGCTATCCTGGAACTCACTATGTTGACCAGTCCTCAAACTTGGAGATCTGCCTGCCTCTGCCTCCCAAGTGCTGGGCTTAAAGGCATGCCCTACCACCCAGCCTTTTATTTGTTTAAACGTGACTTTTTTTTTTTTTTTTGGCTACCTTAAATAGAAAACATTTGTCCTTTCACTAACTCCTCCAGTTTTTAAATAGGTATTACATTGAGCTCACCCAGATTATCAGGAGAATGTTGATATTCTACTATCTTGTGATTGACTAATTCTCCTTTACCATGTGTCTTAGTCACTGTTCTAATGCTGTGAAGAGACACCATGACCAAGACAACTCATATTTTAAAAAAAGCATTTAATTGGGGTCTGGCTTACAGTTTCAGAGATTCAGTCTATTACCATTGAGTAGAGAACATGACAGCAGGAAGTTGTAGTGCTGGATATGTACCGAAAGTTACATCCTAATTCATAGGGAGGGAGGGAGAGGAAGAGGGAGGCAGCAAGGGAAGGGTAGAGAGAGAGTGTGTTTGGGCCTGGCATGGACTTTTGAAACCTCAAAGCCCACTCACTCAGTGACACACTTCCTCCAATGAGGTAATATCTCCTAATCCTTCTAATCCTTTCAAATAGTTTACTCCCTGGTAACTAAGCAATTAATTATATAAGCCTGTGGGGACCATTGTCATTCAGACCATCATGCTTTGTAACCTAATGCAGTTCCAGGTTCTGGGACAGGTTTTGGACATTCTTGAGGGCAGATAAGGTCTCATTCCACCTGCTTCAGATGCACTGAGGCAATTGTTAGTGGTTGCCCTGAAAAGAATGTTGCCTTGTGTCTATTACACTATGACCAGAAACACTGGAGACAATACTGTGGATAGGCCATTTCTTGAAACTTTGCTTGTGTTTTCATCCAATTAAGTAGCATAAATTGTTTGGCTGCTTCTAAAAGTAAGACCTAAAAAGTTGAGATCACTTAATGCTGCCTTCTCGAAAGTCTTTAGCTCCTAAAGTGGTTACAACCCTGCTATTCCTCTGTCCTTGGGGAGCTGGCGAAGGAAGGGTTAGGGCCAGCAGCTCTCAACCTGTGGTCCTCCACCCATTTGGGAGTCACGTATCAGATATCTTGCATATCAGATATTTACATTACGATTCTTAACAGTAGCAAAATTGTGGTTATTTGGTAGCAACGAAATAATTTCATGGTTAAGGATCACCACCACATGAGGAACTGTATTAAAGAGTCACGGCATTAGGAAGGGTGAGGACCACTGGGTTAGTCCCTCTGAGTCCTTTCATGAACTCCTCTTAATGACCGGTGCTAAAGTTAAACTACTTCAAAAGGAAATCCCAGTGGTCATGAGCCACTTTCATTGAGTCCCCAGCCTTTGTCTCCTGGGTTGTTTTGTTTTGTTGTGTGGCTTCGTGGTTCCATGTCAGGTGTTACTTGATGGCTTAGGAGATGCTTGATTACCTTTCATTCTTTGACTACAAATAGCCTCCTTCTGTCTGAGTCATTCCAGACTCCCAAAGCTTCACCATCACTAGCTCAACTTGCTCCCTGGCTGTGTGTCCCTGAGGCCTCTCCTTAGAGATATCCTAAACTGCCAGCAGGGTTCTGCCTGGGATTTTCCCTCCATCCTATCCCTGCCTCTTTTTATCCCCATTCTTTCTGCTGACATTCTCCACTCAGTTTTACTTTTACCTCTTCTTAATATCTGCTTCTTCTTCTGTCTTCCTTGGCTCTTTTCCCAGATTCAGAGCCTTGGCTTCCCTGATCAGGTTGGATCAAAGCCCCTTTCCAGACTTGATGAGGAAATGCTTTCATGTTTGTTTATGCCTCTTCTCAGAATTTGGACAGTTTCTGAAATGTAATTCCTTTTCAGACCTGTGCCCTGGTAGGCATTAGTGACAGGATTATTACTGTCTGTTGATAAATGTCACTGGTCCAGCGCTTATATGGATTGCATTTTAACTAGTTCACACTATATCATCACTCAGCTATTCTGTGGGGTTTCAAAGAAGATATGGAATCTTTAGATGGAGGTTATTGTTAAAAAAGTTCTTGGGACTTTTAAAATGGTCTTTTATAAATTATTTCAGAACTCATGTCTTCCTACCACTTGCCCTACATATTCTGTTTTCTTTAGTCATTTTATTCAGCACAAGCTGGATTAGTGATGTAAGATGGGGGTTGGAGAGGTGGCTCAGTGGTTAAGACCACTGGCTGCTCTTCCAGAGGTCCGCAGTCCCATACCCAGCACCCACAATGTGGCATGTGACAAGCTGTAACTCCACTTCAGGGGATCCAACTCCCTCTTCTGGCTACTGTAGGCATCAGGCACACACAAGGTACACATACATGGGACGTGTAGGCAAAACACACATGTACATTAAAATTTTTTAATTATATATTAAAATTAATGATAACATAAGACCATTGAAAGGACTCTTAAAGTACATGGCATTCATGTTTACCTCAGGGCTAGAATTTCCCTACACCTTCCCACTGTCCTAGCTAACAAGAACCAGGCGACATCCTGGCCATTTTTCCGATTAAAAGTGTACCTATGCTCATTCAGTACACTCTTAGGGGTGCTGATTCACTGCTTCCGTTGCTAAAAAGAACATTCATCAATGCCAGTAAGTTTGTGGAGAGCCAGAGGCCATCCTGTAAGCCAGTAACAATTCTTAAAACAACAGTTCTACTTAAATGCAATCGCTGAAAAGCCAGCCTTGGTACTGACCTGGCAGCAACTCTCGCCACTGCAGTATTTCAGGCCTTCTCCCTGACTGCAGAAGTTCAAGGCAATCTTGGGCTATAATTTTTTTTTAAAAAGGGCAGAGAGCAGAAACTGATGACCCACCTTTTTCCTATAGCCATGAACTATCCCTTTATATGTATTCTTTTTACCTAATCAAGGAAGTAACATGACTATTGGTATCATGGAACAAGATTCAGAGGGCTTCCTCTTCCCCCATCACAGCCTCAGCTGTGACCCAAGGGTTAGAAGTCTCAGCATTCTCCCCTGGGATCCATGAAGTCCTCATTCAGATAGGCTCCCGAGGAGGCCGTCCACTCCTGTGCCTCTAGCTGCTGGGGTGTGTGTAGAGTCAGCATAAAAGCCTGTATAGATCTGAGAGTTGTGTGACTCATCAAAGGTCAAAAGTCTGTTGCTTTGGTTTGAGTTCCTGCTAACCAAACTGTTTTCCTAAGAACACCTGCCCCAAATCGAGTCTTTACTGGGTTCACCTGGAGTTGGGTGGTTTGGATTAAGCCCGTATACCCAAAGCTGCCGGACAGTAGCATCTCAGAGCCAGCAGTACCATCTGTCAGTGTGTGGTGGGTGCCCCCACCCTTCCCAGTACAGTACAGTACATTGGTACTGACAGTTGCCAATATGTGGGTTGGCCAGGTGTCCACAGCACAGGGCCACATGAAGACAACAAGCTCAGTCTGTCTGAACCTCGAGACCCCTGTGATCCCCTGACTAGGGAGTGGGGATGGGAAGGATAGAAAGGAACCCTTTGGTGCCAGTCTTCACTACCGCCATCATCTCAAGTGCTTTTGTGCTATCTTGTAATTGTAGGATCTGCAGCGAGATATCGAACAACACAGTGCAGGGGTAGAGTCAGTGTTCAATATCTGTGATGTCCTATTGCATGACTCTGACGCCTGTGCCAACGAAACAGAGTGTGACTCAATCCAGCAGACCACCAGGAGCCTGGACAGGCGCTGGAGGAACATCTGTGCCATGTCCATGGAGCGGCGAATGAAGTAAGCAGCCGGTTGGACTTGAACATTGTAACCATAGCCAGCCTTTCACCCCACAGCCACAGGAACTACACTCTGTTTAAGTCACTTAGAAATACACCAAGAAATAGCCCAGTCAGTAGAGTATTTGCCCAGCATGGATGATGACCTGAGCTCAATCCCCAAAACAGCATAAACAGGGAATGGTGGTACGTGCCTGTCGTTGCAGCCCTTAGGAATTGGAGGCAGAAGGATGGAAGGTTCAGGGCCAGCCTGGCTGGGCTACAAGAAACCTGTGAAAAGAAAGAAATGGAAGGAGGGAGAGAGGAAGGGAGGGAGAGAGGGAAAGAAGGCAGGAAGGCAAGCCAAAAATTGACAGAGAAAGTCTAGAGTAAGGTGAGCAAGGAAATCACTGGGGGGGGGGGGGGAGAACAAAGCAAAACTAATCAGGAGTACTGCCTTTCTTCAGCCACATAACAGGGCAGGCAGCCCCAACTCTTGCCTGAGCCATGGCATTAGGGTTTCTGAGGTGCCTGGGTCCCGGGAGAATTGAGTTTTGACTGAGAGCAAACATCCTTAGCTATTTATTCCCTAGAAAGGGGTGGTGGAGCATCTTCCCAAACACTCCAAAACAGGTAGACCATGCTGAGTGGACGTGGGCAGTTTGCTAACTAACCTCCTGTCCTCTACTCCTCCCCTCAGAATTGAGGAGACCTGGCGGCTGTGGCAGAAATTTTTAGATGACTATTCCCGCTTCGAGGACTGGCTCAAGTCTGCTGAGCGGACAGCAGCCTGCCCAAATTCCTCCGAGGTGTTGTATACAAATGCCAAAGAGGAGCTGAAGAGGTTTGAGGTGAGCCTTTCCCCAGCCCGTTCTCCCACAGTGAGCCAAGCCTGCTGCACCTCAGAAGCTGCTTCGTGGCTTTGGGTGGCTGGATGGGGTGGCCAGATGTTTCCTTCACTGTCACAGCCCTCTGCCTGCCACCAGCTGCTAGGTCAGCTTTGATGGAAATGTCCATGTACGCCAGTGCCCCGTGCTTTGCCGACCTCACAGACCTGCCATGTAGTGTTTTGCTGCCCCTGCTGTCCGGGTAGCAGCCATGCAGAGCAAGCCACTTGGGGTTGGCAGAGCGGGTTCCCAGCCCTTTCCCTGTCGGGCACTGACCTCCACATTGTGCCACAGGCCTTTCAGCGGCAGATTCATGAAAGACTGACACAGCTGGAGCTCATCAACAAACAGTACCGGCGCCTGGCTAGGGAGAACCGCACCGACACAGCCAGCAAACTGAAGCAGATGGTACACGAGGGCAACCAGCGTTGGGACAACCTGCAGAAGCGGGTCACAGCCATTCTACGACGACTCAGGGTAACCTCCCTATAGCTCTGGGGCGCTGCTGGGAAATATACAGGGAGAAGTGATATGTGATAGGCTGTGGCAGGCCAGCAACACTGCAGCAGGTAGATTTCACTGCAAGCCTAAGTTATCTTAACGTTCTTCCCACACAAAGGGGTCCGTGGCTGCCGGCTTCTCAGGCAGAGCCTGCTTGTGTGGTCTGTGTGACCAGAGCACATCTCTCTTTACAATGGCTGAACTGGTGGTATGGGTGTTGGCACATGAGTCTGGGGCACTGCTTTCCTGGGTCAGGGAAAGTACACATGCACCTCTGCAAGAGGCTTGTTTTACCTATCTGTTTTTATCAGCCCTGCATCTGAAATATGGATACAACACAGAGTGTCTGTACCCACTCAGCGACTGTTGGGGTGTTAGAGCACACTGATTAGCCTCAAAGCAGTCTAGGAAAATGAGAGCCTAGGCTTTTTTATTTTTATTTATTATTTTTTTAACTCTCCTAGAAGGTCATTGGCAGGCTATCTTAATAATCTAGGCAATTCCTTTGCATTAATCTGTTTCCTGCTAGTTTGGCTGTTATTAGTCTAAATGTCACATTTGTCTGGAAATAGCTGCCTGTCTCTTATGATGTAATAACCTGGGAGGTCTCTTTCATTGGAGAGATTGAATCTGTTTTACATGTTCAGAATTACAGAAGTATAAATGGGCAGTCAGACCTAAGCTGCTTCTCTCTCTCTCTCTTCCTCTCCCTGTCCCTGTCCCTCTCCCTCTCATGTGCGTGTGCGTGTGTGTATGTAATCCTTCTGTCTCAGCCTCCTGGCTGCTAGGATTACAAAACTGTACCACTATTCCCTGCTGGATGAGCACCTGCCTATATTGAACTGTCCACTCTTCTCTCTTGGGAAAGCCACCGGGCAACTTGCAGTGCCCCCCACCCCACGAAAGGATCCCTCCATGGATGGGGAGATTCACTGAGTTAAACTGGAAAACTTAAAATTTCAAAATCCTGAAAGGACCTAAGAGAATAGTTCCCCATTACCAAGCCCTCTCACATTCCGTGTGTGTGTGTGTGTGTGTGTGTGTGTGTGTGTGTGTGTGTGTGTGTTGGGGGGGTGCCACATAGCCACGGCAAGACCCCAGGCTCTAGATGCAGTGTGCTGAGGCTTCTGGGATACCCCAGAGATGGGGTTTCCTTTCAGCAAATATGACTCTGCCATGCACACAGGTTTTTCTTCCTTCTTTCATAGTACTTCACCAACCAAAGGGAAGAATTTGAGGGCACCAGGGAGAGCATTCTGGTATGGCTCACGGAGATGGACCTGCAGCTGACCAATGTGGAGCACTTCTCAGAGAGTGACGCCGAGGACAAGATGCGCCAGCTGAACGTGAGTGCAGCTTCCTCCGTGTCTCCTGAAAAGGCACCTCTGCAGGAGAGTGCTGGCCTGTGCACATCTGAGCTGGTGCTCAGAAGGTTCCAGAATCCTGCGGGCTACATTCCACCTGTGTGTTTATATTGCTTCTAGGCCGGGACACCGGGCCTTTAAGTCAAGGGTTTCTGAGGAGAATGTTCATTTCAGGTTCTGGACAGAACTTCCTAAGTTGCCATTCCTCCAGTACTTGAGTCCATGCAGGGCGAGCTAGGTGTCACTCGTGGGGCCAAGATCAGACACCTTCTGCTGTTTACAGGCAGTTTGGAAGTGAGTGAGTGTTTGTTTGGAGACAGGATCTTGCTGTGTAGCCCAGGGCAGGCTTGAACTCATGCAGTCATCATTCCTCAGCTTCCCCAGCGATGAGATTGCAGGCATGTGCCGCCATGTTCAGCCTCATATTACAGTTCCCCTCACAGCCATTCTCTCCTTGGTTAGAAAACATCACCAAATGAAAACCCATTGCCCCTTAACACAGTGGGTACTAATTATTGTTATCACTGTGCCCACCAAGGCAGAGCCCAGCAGTGGTTTATGTGGGGAAATATCCTGCTCCTTCTTAACCAAGTGTCAAGAAGTCGAATTCTCTCCCCTCTACCCATAATGATGAATATCCATCTGGGTTAAATTTAGAATTTTTTTTAATTGAAAAGGGTATATAATTATTTTACATAGTTAAATTGTCACTGTCAGTTCTTTAAAAGCAGATGCCCTGGTACCGGGTACAAAACAGAAAGGGAAAAGGGACAAAGGCATAATGACGTCTAATGCTTTTCTCACCCTATGAGCCTGTCATATGAAATAGACACTAGACACACCAGGAGAGAGGCTCTCTTAAGTCCCATCTTGTCTCGGAACAGGGCTTCCAGCAGGAAATCACGCTGAATACCAACAAGATCGACCAGCTCATCGTGTTCGGGGAGCAGCTCATTCAGAAGAGCGAGCCCCTGGATGCCGTGCTGATTGAAGACGAGCTGGAGGAGCTGCACCGCTACTGTCAGGAGGTGTTCGGCAGAGTGTCTCGCTTCCATCGGCGGCTGACCTCCCACACCCCGGTAAGGGTGACCCACACACCAGGGCTCCCAGCTGCTCAGTGAGCGCACCGTACTGGATGTTTGAAGAGTCAGGAAGGTTACCTTATACCAGGCCCCATGATTTACTTCTTACGGTTAAGAGGAAGGGCTGGAAGTGACCGGTTCTCTGGAGCTCTCCTCATCCAGTCATGATGGATTTGGTAATAATGCCACTTTTGTGCTGAACCACACACACACACACACACACACACTCCACCATCTGTGTGTATCTGATAGCTGTGAAGTTAATATTTTAAGAGTTGGTTTTGTGTTTTAAATTTTTTAACTTATGTGTGTGTTTATGTGAGTTTGTGCACATGAGAGCAGATGCCTCTGTGTTGTATGACAAAGCTTTTCCTGGGGAGACACAGCACACACATCTACTTACCTCACATAGAGAACCCACAATACCTATACCACCAAAGTCCAACCTGGTGAACCAATGGGTTTTATCAGGGTTACTTACAGGAGCAGAAATGACTCAAAGACAGCGGCATTGCCAAAGCCCACCCCATCGTGGGTGATAGCTTACAAAGGCTGGGAACCTGGAGCGCACTGCACAGCTTGCAGGCAACTCAGCAGGTTGGAGAGCATCCTTTTCAGGTGCCTCAGTTTGTCTATTCTTCCAGGCAGCTCAACTGCTTCCTGCTTCTTCGGGAAGCTCCTCTGGTCTCAAGAATCTTCCTCACAACTTGGTTTCTCTGAGTCCACTTGGCAGCTCAGCTTCCATGTGAAAGGGACTCTTGGCTTTTATTGCTTTGCTTACTCTGGCAGGGAGGGGCCTAGTGAATCTTATCACTTTCAGGGACTTCCTGTAGCTATTTTGAGTTGCATACCTTTATGTTTAAAGAGCTTCAGTCTCCATAGGAAACCATTATTGAACACTGTAGAGGCTAGAATAGTCTGTCAGATCTCTTGGTGCCAAAATTACAGGCAGTCATGAGCTGCTAGGCATTGAACTCAGGTCCTCTACAAGAGCAGTGAGTACTGTTACCCACTAAGCTATCTCCAGCCCCCAGGGGGGACTTTTCCCCCTCTATTTCTCTTTTCTTTTCTTTTTCTTTCTCTAGAAAGAAAACAATTTAACAGTATAACAGTTTTAACTGTTGCGTTTTGAACTGTATGGCTACTGAAGAGAAAATCCTAAGAGTGCATTTCTTTACAGAGCTGTGGAAAAGTAGAGTCTCAGTAATGCTCCTAAAGTGTATGCTGTAGTGTTGCTGGGTTAGGGCAGTGTGCTTCATACCTCTGAAGGCAAATTGCCTCACACCTGCCTTGTGAGACAGCAGCAGCTATGTTTTTCAGACCTGTTTAATGATAGTGCTCTTGAATGTTCTCTTTCAATATGATGACTGAAAAGCTAATTTTAAAAAAATGTCAGGTATAACAGTAATAGGAACAAAAATAGCATTGGGTTTTTTTTTTTTTTCTTTTACTGATTTAGAGCTACAGTTACTCAGCGGTGGGAAGGGCGGTGCTTAGGAGTTCATGTTCCTTTCCCCAGTGCTTATAATCCTTAGTGCAGGGCTTCTGGTCAGTGTCAGCATCCCCTAGAACTCAATAGAAGCTGTCTAGTTTGGATGATATGCATTAGCTACTTGGGATGTAATTTGCCTTTTCGTCTCACATCTGGAGACTTTGGATACCTTTACCTCTCTGATGCCCTGTTCTCGCCTTTGAAGTGTCAAATGCACCAGCTTTCCAAAGTGACCTGATGTTTCCCTGAGCACCAGGCGGTTCGGGAAGTTCACGTGGAGTTAAGGCTGCCATTCAGCATTTCCATCTTAACTGGCCACCATGACTGACTAGATTTCTTTTGTGTGTGCTCCAATTGGCAGACTTCAAATGTAGCTGTGTGGCCTCAGAGTCTCCATGAAGTCTTCAGTTTTAAATGTTTGCTTACAATCTGTGGAGCACTATGATATAAGCGGAGTAGAGACACTACATGATGAAATTGGAAAGTAAAAATAAGACAAACGAAGGCTGGGGAGGTGGCAGTTGGTGGAGTGCTTGATCCAGCAAGCACGAGGACCTGAGTTTGGATCCCCAGCACCTACATAGAAAGCTGGACACAGCATTTGAGCACCTGTCACCCTGTGCTGGAAGAGACTAAGCTGGGGGAAGACCCTGGCCAGCTAGTCTATTTGAACCAGCCAGCTCCAGCTCCAACTCAAGAAATGGAGGGCACTTGAGGAAGACACCTGCACTAGTTAGCTTGTCTTGCTGCAGCCGCAAAATACCGGAGGAAAGCAACTCCAGGAAGAAAGGCTTCCTTTAGCTCACAAAGGGCACAGTCCGCCGTGGCTGAGAAGTCACGTGGTAGGAAATGAGGCAGTTGTTCACGCTGCACCCAGTCAGGAACAGTCAGGAAGCAGATAGTGGCGCATGCTGGTATTCTGCTCACTCTTTTTATTCAACAACCTGGGAACTGCAGCCTGGGGAATGGTGTCCACCCACATTTAGGGTAGGTCTTCCCACCTCACTTACCCTCACCCACAAAATTCCTCACAGGCATGTGCAGATGTGTGTTTCCATGGTGGGCCTAAAGCTCATCAAGTTGACAAGATTAGCTATCACAGCACCTAGCATCCTCATACACGTACAGCCACATAGGTGTACACACATACATGCACCTGCACACGTGTGCACGCACACACATGCGCGCGCGCACACACACACACACACACACACACACACACACACACACACACCAAACTAGAGCATGTGATTCTATCAGCCACTGTGACACTTTGCCATTGCTTCCTTCTCCTCTAGATAAACTTGTTTAGATTAGTTGCGCAACTTTATTATTTTACTTTATGCTAAGGAAAAAAGCCAGGTTTCTCTTAAAATTCAGATTCCAGGCCCCATTATGGATTGTTGAAAGTTGAATCATACATAAGACCTGAGGACTTTTTAGAAATGGTGTGTGTGTGCACAAGTGCACATTTGTGTGTGCGGGGTTGTGCAAGTGTACCATGAAGCATGTGTGGAGGACAGAGGACAACTACAGTTGTTGGTCCTCACCTTCCAGCTAGTTCGCTGCTGTGTATGTCAAACTATGTCAGACTGTGCTGTGTATGTCAAACCAGCAAATGAATATCCAGGAATCCTGCCTCCAGTAGGGGTCACTCAGAATACTGTGCCCTGTTTTCACTCGGGTTCCCAGGACTCCACAGGACCTCTCACATACGTGGCAATGCTAATGCCAGCCGTTTTCAGGCAGACTTCCAAAGCAGTAGCCTTTACACTGGCTCACCCTAACACCTGGCACTCTCCATGCAGAGCTTAGAAGATGAGAAGGAAGCCTCTGAGAATGAAGTGGACATAGAAGACCCCAGGGAGGCCCAGGCTGACTCTTGGCGTAAGAGGAGAGAGATGGAGGAGACGTCTTGTCCCCAGTCACTGTGTCACCTTGTGCCCCCGGCTCTGGGACATGAGCGGTCTGGCTGTGAGACCCCCGTCAGTGTGGACTCTATCCCTCTGGAGTGGGATCACACAGGTGATGTGGGGGGGTCGTCCTCTCACGAAGACGACGAGGAGGGCCCGTTCTACAGCGCACTGTCAGGTAAAGACACTTTCCCAAAGTCTGGGAATACTTCTAGCACCATAGCAACACACGGCGAGACCTCAGAGATCCAGAGCCCCGCTTGTGGCTTTCTGGTTTCTGTTCTGCCCACCTTTTGCCTCAGCTGAGAATTAGCTCACTCCTATAACAGGCGGGATGAAATTCATATTCTGATTTTAGTGTTGTTCACTGATGAGGCCCACCAATGGGAGACTCATCAATTGATTTTTCTACGGTGTTTATCAAAGCTTATCAGTAGACTGAGTGTGGCCCTTCTTGCCATATGTGCAACCACCACACACCACAATGAACAGGTGTTGACTGGGGAAAACAATCTTTCTGGTTTTTGGAAATTCTTTTAATTGAGTCGTTTGCCCCCTCCTCCCAGCTGGCAATGTCTCTGCTGTGTTGACTTTACGACCTAGGCATTACTCCACAGATGCCTCCGGTGAGGACAATGACATTATTCTTTTTCAGATGTAGAAATCCCTGAAAATCCTGAGGCATATCTTAAAATGACCACACAATCTTTGAAAGCATCTTCTGGTAGGCCCCTTGCCCGTGCATGTGTCTCAACATGGCCGCATCCCATGATACACACTGCATCCTAAACCTTGCTCCGTGTCATGCCTGACCTGCGCCTTCTGTGGACACCATGCGCCTTGGTCCTTGTGTCATGGTGTATTTACACTGCTGTACTCACCCATACCTGCGTGCTCCTTACAGGATCCTCCCCCCTACCAGAGTGGCCTCAACACCCCCCCCCCCCACCCACATCTAGGCCCACAGACTTTTTGTTCATGGTGCCTTTTGTTATATTTTCCTCCACCTAACTTGAGTCCTTTGGCATAGGCCAAGCTTTCTTCATGGTGGCTTGGTTTCAAACTGTTTTCCTGCTTCTGGTTGTTTCCTGAGATGGGTGGCTGGGGGGCAGAAAGGACCATTCATTGCCTTTGTCACAGCAGAAGAAACCTTTCCTTGATTTGCAGCTCTAGCCCTATCCCCAACCCTTCCCCCATCTTTAGTGGTAATAGAGGGCTATCAGCAGCTATGTGGTCCTTAGCTCACCCAACCTCAACCTCACCGTCACTCTTGTCCTCACTCCTCAAAGGCCTTCTAGCCTCTTGGCCCCCAGACCTGGCCTTACTCCCCAGGGTCCCAGCCAGTGTAGACTCCAGCCCCACCCAGAATGCTATTCATCCTGCAGCAAATCATATGTCCGTTGTGCTCCGCTGTGGTCCCATCTCATGAAGGTGCAATGTCGCTCAGTTGCATGACTCATTTCATTTCCTCCCAAGACATACTGACATTTTGCAAACATGCATGCTTTGCAAGGGAAGCTGCAGAACTCATTTTGATATTATAACTGATGCCACGTCACCTGTGACCATGTTTATATCACTAAATAGGAATCCTTTGGTTGCAGAGTAGACCATAACTAGTGTGACACTTTGTTTCAGGTAAATCCATTTCTGAGGGCCATCCGTGGCATGTTCCTGACAACCCTTCCCATCCCAAGCATCACTACAAAGCAATGGAAGGTGACAGGACTATACCACCAGTCCCCTCAGATGCCAGCACCCCCTACAAACCAGCCTATGTAAGTTCTTGACCCACCGGGAATGTAGCCCAGGCACATGCATGCGTTTCCAACCTCATTTTTGAACTGCTTTGCTTGCAGTGGTGGGATCTCTTCTGAGGAGTCTTCAGGAAAGAGATGTCAGTGGTAGAGCTTGCCTACATAGTCCTGAGTTCAGTTCCCAGCACCACCCAAATAGCAAGGCCCTCTGCTGAGGTGCCCATGCTTCATTAGAACCCAGAGAAAATGGACTGGTTTTAAAGAAAGGTTTCCAGCCCCCAGATTTGCATGTGCTGATGAGTGATACGACGAGAGGACTATTTCCGTTAGAGGCAGTTATCCATATAGAAAACAGAGCCTTCCTGAGCTGCCTCTCGGCTCTCAAATCCTTGCTATATTTGCTTTCTGACTGCACATCAGAAAATAAGAAAGGGGCTTCATTATCTGACTTGATGTGGAGGGTGTGGATTTGGTTCCCCAGCCATGATAGTGGAGCATACAGCAGCACTGTGTAAGCCTCCCTCACCTAATAGACCTGCCTCGTACAGCAGGGTTGATGTGTACAGGGAGAAGGCCCTTCGAATTAATACAGTACTGGGGTGCTTTTTATAGCACCTGCAGCTCTTAGTTGCATGAGTTCCTGGTGTGCTCCGGTGGGGCAGCAGCTGGAGACCGCGTAAGGTTAAAGGTTGGCTGAAGAGCATTAACGGTGAGGGAGTTGGAGTTAAAACATGGCCTGCGTTTTAGTGCCACAGGCATCTTCCAGAGAAGCCAGCAGCAGTGGAAGTGTCCTTCGTCTAGGGGGACTCATCTACGCGTCATTGGAGGCAGTCAGATCTGATACAGACTTGGCTGTGCCCACTTCAGAACTCGTCCTCTTGCTTAGCAGACAGCTGTGACTTTTACTCTCTCCATCTGTGCCACAGCCTAAGCCTGGGGAAGGGGACCCCACCCGGCCCCCCACCCGGCCCGGAACCCCCTCCCTGCCCTCGCTTTGGGTTCTCCCAGGCATTATTAGGCCTGTGTTTCTCGCCTGGTCAGTTTCAGCAGCTCAGCCTTTCTACTGGATGTGAAACCACAGGAGTTAGCAGAGGCCAGAAGTCTCCTTTTCCCCATTCCACACGAAGAGGCCATATAGACATAACCCGGAGAAAGCACTGCTTTGCTCAAAGGGATTCGTTTATTTTGGAAAGGACTGACAGAATAGGCTGTTCATCTCTGCGGGAGCAGAAGAGTCACTGTGGACGCTGAAGGATTGATGCTTGATAATAATGAAAGACGCAGAGAGGCGGGAGAATCTCGCATTCCCCATTTACAGAGTGGAAAATGCCAAACACCTCAACCTGGTGACTGGAGGGAGATTTTGTGAAACACCGTGAAGGTGTTAAAGTGTCAACCAAAGGAGCTATCTCATAAGACCAGTGCTCACCATAGTTTGTGTGGAGACCTTCAGGAAGGGTGCAGATTAAACAGGCCATTGCCCCCCTCTTTTTAAATTTAAATTAGAAACACTCTTGTTTTACATATCAATCCCAGTTCCCCCCCCCCACCGTTCCCCCATCCCATCCCCTTTCTGCTCCCCAGGGAGGGTGGGTGAGGCCTTCCATGGGGGATCTTCAAAGCCTGTCACATCCCTTAAGCAGGCCCATCACTGACGTGTCTCCTGCTTTCTGCCCTCAGCTCTGCTTGCTTACAAATCTTGCCGAGTGCAGCCCTGTGTCTGTCGTATCAGTTATGGGTCCCACGTCTTTATTTCTTTACTGTTCATATGAACCCAGGTGTTCTTTAGCTCCTTTTTCAATTTTATAGATATATAACCTAAAAATTGGCTTGTTCCAGGTAAAGTTGTTATTGCGTCAAGGCAGTGATGACGGCAAAGGAGGCCCAAGAGACTCAAAGGACAGCCTCCAGCAGGAAGATGAACAGCTGGGCACTCTAACGGGACAGCAGCCAGGTACCAAAGAATGGCATCCTTTAGGAGATATGGAGCCTGGGATCTGGGCCTAGCCAGGTGCTTCCACCTGGCTACAAAATACACGTTTTGATGACTTCCTGTGGATGGAAAACTAAGAGTGAAGGGGCAGAAACTCATACTGTCCAGTAGTTACCAGAGTAACTGCTGAGCTAAACACAAAAGTCAAGGTGAGTCAAAACAGCCACGGCATCTGAAATGATGAGCTAGAGGCCACAAGACCTATTGGCCACAGGTAGGCTTTCCTCACCTCTGTCCCCACCTTCTATTGTGGGAGCACAGGGGCTGGGCCTTGAATGGAAGCACAGAGAATTCCAAAAGAGAGAGCTCCCTGGCCCTGATCCTCCTTCAGGCAGCAGCCTGGACTCACTTTTGCCATCCTGACCACTCACAGCTGAGAACATCTGCTCGCTTTAATTGGCAGCTTTGGGTTCCAGGTGCCTTTGACAGATGGGAGCTGATTCAGGCGCAGGAGCTTCACGGCAAACTCAGAATAAAAGAGAACGTACAACAGCTGAATTCCGACATCAGCAACATCACCGCTTGGCTTGAAAAAACTGAAGCAGAGCTGGAAGCCCTGAGGCTGGCAGAGCCTCCCTCCGACATCCAGGAAATGGCACTCAGGGTGAAGAGACTGCAAGTGAGTGGGAGCCTTGTGTGTGTGGGGAGGGGGGTGTGGTAAACCAGAGCAGGCACGAGGAGCTTGAGCTGTGTGGTGCTGGAGCAAACAGGTCAGACCGGGGTTTGGTGTAGCTGGCAGTGTGTGGGCAATGTGTGTAGAGGTCAGTGGCTTTTGCCTCAGTAAGGAGGGAGATGCAGGTTTCTCTTTTCACATGGGAGAGAATCTACAGGTAATTGCCAAGCCCAGAAGAGCACTGAGGAGTTGTGGCTCAGATCCTAGGGGCTGGAAAGATCTGGATTTTAGATTCTTGAGGAGGTGCTGGTAGCCAGTGGGAGGCAGCATACAGCCAACCTGCTGACCTCATGCAGGGCTAGCAGTGGAGGCTTCCTGACTCACTGGCTGAGGGATTCTGTGGCCTGTCTTGGCTCTCCTGTGATAGTTAGGAGTTGTTACCCATGTAATCAGCCCTAGCCCAGGGTGCAGGGGAGGGGCAGCTTAAACCCTGCATTTTGGAGGTGCCCTGAAACTCAGGACAGGAGTGTTGGGGTTGCCCAGTCTCTCTCCACCCGTGTGTTTTCCCATTGAGTATATACAGAGTACCGTTCCTCTTAAAGGAGTGGCATTTCTGGGGCTCTTAGGGACAAGTGCCAGAACAACTACACAGCCTTTATCTGGAAGACTTTTAGTCTACCGAGAATGGTTCCTAAGCCGGTGACAGACAGAAAAGGGACTGTGGAGGTCAGTGGAGTGTCCCCGTGCCTGGTATTCCTCTCAGTGAGAAGGCAGGCCTGTGCTGACACAGCCAGCCAGCCAGCCAGATTCACTAACCTTGTAAGGCAGGCCCCTCAGCTGACACTTCCCAGCCACTCACGGGCAAGTTCTCGCTCATCTTGTCCCACTGCTTGGGAAAGCGTGGAGAAGGTCTGTCCCTTACAGGTATTGAAAATGAGTCTCTCTTCCCTGTTGCCTAACTGGCTCTGTTCCCTTGATGGTAGGCGTTATTAAAAGCCTTTGATACCTACAAGACCTTAATGGTCTCCGTCAACATGAGCCACAAGGAATCTCTGCCAAGCGAAAGCCCCGAATCCACAGAACTCCAAAATAGGCTCCACCAGCTGAGCCTGTCCTGGGACACAGTCCAGGGTGTGATGGACAGCTGGAAAGGAGACTTACGACAGTCACTCATGGAGTGCCAGGTATGTTGTTGATTCAGCCCGAGGCCCTGTCCCAGCAGTAGCCTGACCTACATGCTAGGAGCTGCAGATAACTTTCCATCACCGGGGCTGGCTTGGGTTAGGAAGAAAGAAAGCCCCTCTCCTCCTTCGAGTGCCATTAAATTGGACCTGTGTTTGCCCAGAATCTCCAGGTCTGTTGCCCAAGCCCACACCCAGCCTGGATGTAAAGATCATAGCAAGCATGCCACCAGGTTAAGGAAACTGCTTCTCTCTGTTCTTTGGTCTGAGAGATTTAGAGAGACCTGGCCATGTAAGAGGGGAGCACGTTAATGCTTAGGGTTCCCCTTCTGAGACCTGGGAATCGCCAAGCACCCGCCTCTCAGGCTCATTTTTAGGACCAAACAGTATGGTGGGAGAAAGGCAGGTGACTAGTGGATACGAAAGAGAAGGCTCCCTCTGACAACTGTTGTTTTAAAGGACTTCCACCAGCTGAGTCACAACTTGCTCCTGTGGCTAGCTAGCGCCGAGAGCCGAAGGCAGAAGGCACTTGGCACCAGCCCAGAGGCAGACCGCCAGGTCCTCCTGGAGTGTCGGAAAGAGCTGATGGTAAGTTTCTCCCACAGGACCACTAGCCACACTGTATTTCCATGGGTCAGAGCTTCCCCAGAGTTCAGGGCACCACGGTGCTGTTGGTAGCTGTGACTCATGGGTTCTTACAGAGAGGTGAAGAGTCAGAAACACCTTTAAGACTCTCTGGACTTAGGGATATCAATGTTTTAAAAAGACTTTTGAAGTTCAAGGCCACTGAAGCATTCTTTCTCACTTGCTAATGCATTCATCCCTGGATACCTACAGGAGAGTGGACTTAGACTCCTGCATATACCCAGTTCTGGGGGTGCTTGAGTCCATTCGGTAAAATGTACATGTTTCTACATTTGTTATTTGCATCCAACCTACACCCATCCTCCCATATACCTTGAATCCTCTCAATTACTTACAACCCTTAGCACAATGTAAATGTATTATGTAAATGCTATATAAATTTCTATTACACCACACTTAGGGAATAACAGCAAGGGAAGCATTTATGCATTCAGAGCAGCAGTAATTCTTTGGTTGGCAATGTTTTCTGACCCATGGCTGATTGACTATGGGTGCAGAACCCTCAGACACAGAGGCCTGACTGTACTGCTCATTTGGGGGAAACATGAATTGTCTATAGTAGAAATACTTATTTCTGCAAGTTGCATCTTTAGCATCTTTATAGATTTTTCACCAGTAAGCCCAAGGTGAGACCGATACATTCTCACATGTATGCAAAGTGACTTGTTTTTAATCTATAAGCTTATATGTAGTTTGATTTTCAATACTTTATATTTAAAAATGGCCGGGCATTGATTGTTTTGAAAGAATTTATATTAAAATCCTTGCTAAGTTCCATTCCCTACAGTAATAGTGCCCAAGAGAACTTTCTACATGGGCAGAAATGTCCTGTCCGAATGTCAGGTGGCTACTAAGGACTTGAAATCAATTTTCGTCTTTTAATTTGAAGGGAGGTAGTAGCATAACCTGAAAAGAGCCCTTAACGATTTCGAGTGAAAAGCATGGGGTATTCTCCATGTTATCTAAGCTGTGTGCTTGACCTAATAGCTCTTGACTTGAGTTTCCCTGACCTAGAGTATAAGGGACTGGTATTCACACTATGCACCATCACTTCTTTCCTCTGATTAAAGGGATTTAATTAAAAAGAGGTGGGGCACAACCTATTCAGCTGCTCTCTGAATAATGCTAAGCTAAGCAAGGATTGAGACTGGTATCAGTGACCCATAGAAAGTTCTGCAGTGAGGCTGCCCACAACAGCTTTATACCATTTTTGCTTCTAGCAATTGGAAAGGGAGTTGGCAGACCATCAGCCTCAAGTCAGCTCCTTGCAGGAGATTGCCTCCAGCCTTCTCGTTAAGGGGCATGGAGAAGACTACATTGAGGCCGAAGAGAAGGTCCACGTAATCGGGAAGAAACTCAAACAGTTGCGTGAGCAGGTGGCTCAAGATCTGATGTCCTTGCAGGGAAGCCTGGTGAGTCAGGTTGTCATTCTTATGTGTCAAGATGTCCCAAGAAGACAGGTGGTAGCCTCACTGTGGTGGAGGGGCAGGTAGTCTGTGTGAAGGTTCCAGCCCCTTTGTGGCCGTGCATCTTCATCAAATGAGGTGCATAAGCCCCATGCACGTGTTCCGCCATTTGAAAAGAGGCAACAGCCATACCTGTCTACCAGCGGGGTTATATGCAAGATGGGTCCTGCCATCCTCTCTACCTTCATTCAGAATACAAATCTTCACTTTCTCTCATGACAAGGTTTCAAGCCCTCCTTTCTGATGTCCTCTCATCCGCTGACTTCCAGTTCCCCTGAAAATGTGGTATATAAGGAATACTCTAGCCTCCCCTAGCTGGAGCAGGACCCATGAATCTGTGATCTATGGAGACTCACTGCCAACTGGGATGATAGGTTTCCTGTGCTTTGGCTATATGGCCTTTTGTCTGAAAAATGAAAAAGTCTGTTTACATGGGAGGAGAGTAATTAGAAAGATTTAAGCTGGCATAGGAACAAATGACTCCTTGAAGAGTTCATAAAGCACAGTGCTCTTGACACCACCTAGAACTTTGTTTTCCCTAACCTGACCAACTGGGTGTGGCTTTCAGAATCCAGACCCCTCTCTGGCCAGCTTTGATGAAGTGGACACCGGGGAACAGCCTCCAGCTACCTCTGTACCAGCAGCCTATGCAAAGGTGAGTGCCCAACCCTTAAAAAAAAAAAAAAAATACCCAGTACGGCTCTAAGTCATTAAGATGACAGACACTTAATATCTCCATATGGCACAATGTGCATGCAGAGAGGACAACTTGGATCTATCTCTGCATCCATCACTTGGGTCATGCAGCTTGGCAGAAAGAGCCTTTACAAGTGATGATTTTAAGGCTCTCTCCTGGTGACTGACTTTTCTCTGAGGACATAGTAGGCTGTGGACGATGAGGGCCCCTGTTGAAGGGGGGGTTTCCCAATGTCTCCAGTAAATCAGAGCAGTAAACTGAAATACGAAAATCTTGATGGCTCTACAAACCCAATTGTTTCAGCAAGCTGAATCACACCTAGTGTGACTCTAATCCCGACAGTGTGGCTGGGGGAGGGGTCGGCGTCGTATCCTAAGGAAGGACACATTGCATCATGGGCCTCTTTGTTCCAGCAGTTTGGAGCAGAGAGATCTACCGAAGAGGAAGAAGAGACAGACAACAGGTAATGGCATCAAGTCCCCACGGGGATCCCAGCCTCGTCAGTGCCACTCTCCAAATGCATCTAGAGGGGGCCAGGCTTCTCTTCAAAAGCACACCAACTATCTGGGTTACTCTTCTATTGTTGTGACAAAATGCCCTGACCAAGCTAGGTAGGTAAAGAAGAATTTATTCCAGCTCATGGTTCAAGGGGACAGTCCACGGTGTGAAAACCAAGCAACTGGAGCTCGAGGCAGCTGGTGACATTGTCCCACAGTTAGTCACAAAGCAGCTAAAGACGAATGTTTGTCCTCAGCTTGCTGCTGTCCCTTTTTTATCCAGTTCAGAGCCCCAGCCCATGGAACGGTGCTGCCCACTCTTAAATCAGACCTTCCCAACCTCAGTTAATCTGGATAATCCCTCTCCCTAATGCCCAAAGGCTCCGCTTCTCTATGACTCGAGATCTTGTCAATTTGACAGTGTTAATTGTCAGCCCACTTGAACCTCACATCTCAGGGTCCTGTACTTCTTTCCATAAGCACGTAGCCAGATAATGGAGGGTGGGTGAGTGTGGCCTGGGAACCCACCTGATGAGTTTTCCCCACCTCTCTGTTGGCAGGATGTCCCACCTCAATGGCCCCGACAGCTCACAGCCCAGACGCTCCTTCCTCTCAAGGGTGATCAGGGCAGCACTGCCCCTGCAGCTGCTGCTCCTGCTACTGTTGCTGCTGGCCTGCCTGCTGCCTGCCTCTGAAGAAGATTACAGCTGCACGCAGGCCAACAACTTCGCCCGCTCCTTCTACCCCATGCTGCGTTACACCAACGGGCCACCTCCCACCTAGAGGATTCTGCCAGATGCAGTGCCATGCTAACAGCCTGTCGGTCACATGTGTTCAACTTGTGACTGACTCGTAGCCTTGACAAGATCAGGGACCTGCAGCAAATACCTCCCTTATCCTGTCCAAATGGACTCTGGTGGCCCAGGACAACTCAGGCAAGATGTCCTTCCTCTGGGACAGAGAACCAAGTACACAGCAGGACCTGGCATTCAGACCAAGCTAGTAGATGGGTTCCAAGAACTCTGGGAATGGGGGGGGGGGGGGATCTTCCCGAAGAGCCATGCACTTTGTAAAACACTGTATTTGTAGCACAGTTGATATATAAGTCCCGGGAACAATGATGTTCAGCACATAAAGGAACTATATCCAAGATGGTAGGTCCCTATCTTAGTAATGGTTCAGCAACTCCAGTCATGGCTGATTCAAACATTCAAAATGTTGAGAATTGGTTCCCCTCTCCTCTAGCTACCAGTCTGCACTCCCAGTTATAAACAAAAATGTCCTGTTCTGTACCTGGGTCAGCTCTTCTATATTGCTTTAAAATTGCTTTAAAATTTTTTAAAGAAATTTTATTGCATGGATGTGATTATTTGTGCATATTTTTTAACCATGCTGAAATCTGTATGGATAATGTAAACTTTGATTTTAAAACAAAAGATTTTTAGCTTGAGCTTTGGACTAATGTACAGTAAATGCCAAACTCCAGACTTGATAGGGACATTTTTATAAGTTAATTTTTTAAGAACTTTCATGTTTTAAAGAGACACATTGGGTCTGGTTGAGCTGTTTGGCCACCAGGGCTTGGTAAAAAGAAACTTGGAACTATTTGTGTATGTACAACGCAGATGTTTCTCATTAAAGAAAAAGAAAAAAGTCATACTGTTTTGTTGTATTGGATGATGTTAGAAGGCGGTGACAATTATCATCTTCGATGCCCCCTACAAGATGCCAGCCACCACATGTTGGCGTGGGCCTGGTAGGCTGTCTGCACTTTCTTTCCCCTTATCCTACATTTGGGTCACCCAAGTCCTCTGGCTGCTTGCCCAGCAAAAGCCCCCTCCCCTGAGCCTGTCTTCCTCCAAGACCCACAAGGGACCCTTCAGCCATCATATGAGCCCTACCAGCTGCCCTGTCTAACCTTGAGACCCAGGACAAGTCCATAACCTTGAGACCCAGGACAAGTCCATACTTCAAGGAAAAACTTGTTCTAGAACTGAAGACACCACCAGACTGGCAGAGGAACAGAAGACCTGGATAGAGGCGGTATCCGCATTTACTAGACAAACAGGAATGGAGAGTCTCTGCACTGCTGTGAATTAGCATCCTGAACCAACAAACTCCAGATGTGCAAATCCCAACTCAGAAAACAGGGAAAACCCAAAATAACATGTCACCTCCACAAAATACAGTTCCCATAGTAATGGTCCCTAGTGGAAATAGCAGCATACAAGAACTTAGAAAGAATTCAAAAGAATGATTATAGCTATGGTCAAACAACTCAAACTCAAAGATGACAAAGAGATGAATGAAATTAGGAAGCTGGTCCAAGACATGAAAATAATTTTAATTTCTTAAGACAATTAGAAATGAAAAACTCAATAAAAAACCTCAGTGGAAAGCCACCGCAACAAAGTAGATTATGACTAAAACAGACAGGGATGGAAGACAAAATAGAGGAGTTGGATCACTCAGTAAAAGTTAAGAGAATTAAAAAAAAATGGACCATGGGAAAGTTCTGGAACCCCTTAAAAAGGCATAATCTAATTTTAAGCATAGGAGGAGAAGAGAACTATGGTGGAGGCATAGAAAACATCTTCAGTGATATCATGGAAGAAAATCTCCATGTTTTCCTGTTCAGGCATGACATTTGAGGACACCAAATAGATCAGGAAAGAAATTATCCACAACATATTATAGTTAAAATATTAAAATCACAAAATATAGAAAGGGTTTTAGAGCTCCAAGGGAAGAAGCTCAAGTCAATTATAGAGGCAGGCTAATTAGAATAACAGCTGATTATGTAGCAGAAACCATTAAAGCCAAAAGGGTCTGGGAAGCTGTCATCCAAATCCTCAAAGAGTATAACTGTTTTACCCAGCAAAGCCGTCTATTCAAATAGAAAGATAGCTACACCTGGTGTCACATGCCATTAATCCCAAAACCACTAGGGAAGCAGAGGCAAGAAGATCCTTAAGTTCCAGGCCAGCCAAGGCTATACAGTGAGACTCTCCCCACTACACACAAGATAATTTGAAACATTACAGGTTATTGTCATTGCTCTTGCTTATACTCTTAGAACATCACAGGAAAACCTACTGCTGAAGATACCACACACTTAAGTCACAAATCAAGCTGGTACTCACCTGGACACTTCATCCCTACTGGCTGGTTTTTATGGCGCTTGAAGGCACTATGGTTGCTACCAGAGATGAAAAGTTTTGTTGTTGGTGGGGTTTTGTTGTTTTGTTTTGTTTTGAGACAGAGTGTCACTGTGTGGCCCTGGATGGCCTAGAACTCACTCTGTAGACTAGGCTGGCCTGGAACTCAGAGCTCCACCCGCCTCTGTCTCCAGAGCAACAGGATTAAAGGCATGTGCCACCATGCCTGGCCTGAAGTCACTAACCTTACCCATCTGTGAGCCCTGCAAGCTGTAACAATAACCAGCCTGGTACCATTCTGAGGGCCAAGGACCTGTGTTTGAACAGATTATAGGCCCTAAGGGTAACATCTATTAATGTATTCAACTGACTCCTAATGAGTTACTTACTAGATCAGTGCATCTGTCACCCTTCATGAGAGAGGCTTCTTTTTGCAAGAGATGGTGATCTCACACAGAAAATCTACAACTGACCAAGGTGCAAAGAGTAAGACTGGAAGGCTCAGCCCTGTATCTATATCATACCTGCTCCTCCAAAGGCTCGGGCATCATTATGGAGAGGGTGTGGGGAGATTGTAAGAGCCATAAGCAGAGGGTGACAAGGAAGCAGTGCTTTCTGGACACAGGGCAGCTGCACATATGAATACACGGTAACTGGGACAGCATACAGGTGGCTTAGAGACCACACTCTGTGTGTGTGTGTGTGTTCCTTGCTCACAGAAGCAAGTTAAAGAAGACACATTTTATTCCTAGGGAAGTCACAGAATCAGGAGCTTGAGGACACAGCTGTTCACTGCACTTAGGAAGCAGAAGTGAACACTCATATTCTGCTAGCATGTCCCTTTCTGTCAGTTAGGGACTCCAACCATGGACCCACCTGCCCAGTGTAGGTGGGCCTTCCCTACCATGTGTGCCCAAAGTGATCTAGAGCTTGTCCGGTTCACAATAACCATCACAATATGTAAATGGCTCAACCACTGGCCATCAATTGCTGGGGGAGGCATCTAGAAGAGTCACATGGCCTGGATTTTTCCACTCTCCGTTTTCTGGAATGAACTACATAGGTGGCTTATCTCTACCCCAAATGCTAAAGACTTGAAGTACTTTGAATTGAAGGCATTTTTGCACCGGGGGATATTTCCATATACATAATATGCTAAAGGTACTCTTATATGATATTGTACTTGAAATAAAGTTTCATGATACAAAACTTTCCAGTTGTGATGTCATTCGAGCCCTCAAAGTTTTGGAGATCGAGAGTTTGGGGTCAACTTAGGCTATAGTGAGACCCTGTATGCAATTAAAAAGGAAAAAGTTTTGTATCTTTAAATGGGAGAATGTTCTGTCTGAGCCAAGCATGGTAGTGCACACCTTTAATCCCAGCACTGTAAAGGCAGAGGCAGATGAAATTTGAGGCCAGCCTGGTCTACATAGTAAATTTCAGGACAGCCAGGGCTACACCCAGACTCTGTCTCCAAAAAAGGGGGCACCAGCAGTGGGCTGACAAAGCCCAGCACTGTGCCCTTCCCACTTCAGTGAGTCTCAGCAGCTCTCCATCCTTGTTACTAACCCAGCTCCTCATCCGCATTACACCCGGAGCCAGGAGTGACTAGGCAAAACACTCATCTGGAGGCTTGGACCAGGGAAGCCTGTCAGAATGTTTCAAGCTGGGACCCTTCTCTCTCCAGATATCCAAGCCACCTGTTCAATGACCCAGCAGTTTGTCTTTAAAAAAAAAAAAAGTGTCATCAAGTTCTCAAACTGTTAAATGAATAGGGATAAAAGGTTGCTTTTGTTTTATCCCACCTTAATTTTGCATGGTTTACAGCAGTCTGGGGTGGGGGGCAGGGGATACATCTAAATTAACAACTTTTTCTGAATTGCTTCAAGTTTCCCTGTTCCATGTTAGCCTGAGGCAAGTAAAGGTCTAGCTCCTTCTCCACCTTGCACTCCAAAGAAAGTGTTTTACAAGCGGAACATTTGTTTAAAAAAAAAAAGTCAAAGGGTTGGTTGCATTTCAAAGGCTAAAGATATAGACGTTTTCTCAACCTAAGGACCTCTGAGTTTGCCCCTCCCTCCCTGAAACCTCTCCTCCACCCTCAGAAAGCTACTTCTGCCTCCTTTCATTCAGAGCTTGGAGTATCCCCCAAATTCGTACATGAGATGACTCATGTTTCAGCATCTTCAAATGACCACAGGCACAAACATAACTTCAGCATGAATGAATGACTCCACCCCATCTCTGAAGGGGATACTACTAGTTGACTCAAGTGACAAAAATTATAGAAAATCTACCCAAATAAATTGATTCTCTGCACCAGGGCTTTTACATCTCTACATGTGTCTGTGGTCATACATGAGAAGCGATTTGGTAACTAGAGGTTCAATTGTTCCTGTTGAGGCAACCTAGGAGAAGGCAAGCATCCATGCTGATGTCCCCTCTCCTAGGAAGACTTACTACCACAGTTCTCAACGAAAGAGAAAAAATTCACAGAAGAAAAACCAGACACTGCTTAACCTGGCAACTCTAAGTTCTTACACTCAGCTCCCAACAAATGTTTTTAAAACCCAAATTATGAAAAACACTTTGTCACATTAAACTTCTCTCTGCAACAGCTCCATAGATACTAAAGAGACTTGGTAAGGACAAAGAAGGGCTCCCAGACAGATGCTTGATGAGTCTTAAAAGCATCACATATAGTAGTTTTGGTGTTTGAGGCCTCCCAAGTTCGATGGCTGCCAGGCATAAGCCACCTCACTCAAACACTCATTTCTTAACAGGCTCACAGTTGAAAGCCTGTAATCAACACTAGCCTAATGGCACATGGCATCTATCTGAAAAAAAAAAAAAAATGACAAATTACAGTCAACCAACAGGCTCTGAGGGACACATAACCACTGCCTGCTAAAGCAATAGAGCCAGGGCTCACAGGAAAACAAATGAACGACAGGAAGAGTGCAGTTACTGGGAACTGTTGGGACTAGCAAGCCTGTGCCAGTCCCAAAGAGAAAGCCCCATCAAGGAACAGGCTGTTCTGCAAGTGAAGTTGATCCCTGAGCTTTTTTTTTTAAATCACATCCACAGAGACATCGCACAACTTATAGCAGCAACTGGATCCAAATTCCATGAAGTTTGAGAGCTACAGGAGAAACTGGCACGAAGTGTACTCCACTGAGAGATGTGGCATTTCACACTGCTATCATTTCAAGGCTTGTACAAAGCTCTGGTGTACTGGAAGGAAAGAAATACCGGGAAGTGATGGCAGATCCCTCCCCCCTTAAGATCTGTGGAAAGGCGGCAGGACAGGAATACAGTGGCCAGTCATGTCCCGCCCGCCCGTAACTGCTTCTGCCCTGCCAAGGCTCAAGCAGACCCACTCTAAGCTGAAAAGGTAGAAATGCAAAGGACCAGAGAAGTCATCCATGCCTTCATCAACTGCTCAAGACATCACAGCACTGCTCAAGAGGTGGGCAGCCAGGAAACAGAGGGCTCGAATTCCAATCCAGTCTTGGAAATGAGAAGTTGCAAGAGCTGGCACAGGTCCTGTGATCCGTCGGCATTTTTAGTTTGCACGTGGATAAACATAGGCTTGAACTTTTGCATCAAAAATTTGAAGCTGTTAGTGACTAATTCCAGGGGTGTTCTGGGTGTTAGGCATGTGGAGTTTCATAGGTAGATCCCACTTAAGCCACAGACATCCCTGCTAAGATTCTGTGGTTTAGAAAATATTTGGGGTACGGGGACATGGGATGTAGTGAAATGGTAGAGAGCAAAAATAAATTTTTTAAATTGTTTTGTAGTGTTTGAGATAGTGCCCACGGCCTTGTACACGCAAGTCAAGGACTCTCAGCACTAAAGCTGCTCTGGGGATTCTTAATGTTTTTGTTTTTGTTTTTTTTTTTTTTAAACTGGGTGAACTGTGTAGTCACTCTCATCACTAGACTACAACTGCCAGATACCAGTTCCATCCTTTGTTCTCTGTGACCCTGGCCTTCCACTTCCCGAAAACCAAAATCAATTCACAGGAAAGGATAATGAGGATCAAATGTGAAAGCTGTGCCTGGTCGTTTCTGCATACCACATGCCATGTTGCTGTTATTTATGTAACCTTTATAGTGTCTTTTAAAGCTTTTGTTTGTTTTAGCAGCTTAAAGATGAGTTTCCGGTCTTATTAAACAAAGCTACTTTGTTTCAAGATAGAGCTAGAAACAAAGGGGTTTATCTGGAGTTCTGAGACCTTATCAATATATGCAACCAAGCCCTTCATATACTCAGAAATGCTAGATTTCTTCAACCCAGCTTACTTGTCTCTCCGCACTGTGGCTGTGCTAAGAACTGGTAAGTAACCGGTTTCCTTGCAAAATTTTTAAATCACTGGCTTCTCAGCTGAATTAACAGAAGTCATTCAGGCAAGGATACTTTCTCTCTCTCTCTCTCTCTCTCTCTCTCTCTCTCTCTCTGTGTGTGTGTGTGTGTGTGTGTGTGTGTGTGTGTGTGTGCACGCATGCTGTTGCAGTGTTTTAATGGTTAAAACTCCCTGTGTTATTTGTCTTATGTTCTCACTATCAAGGGGAAAAAATTCTTTGGGATTACTTTTAGAGTTAATCTCTATTCTCAAGTGACAAGTGGGATAAGCAGAGGCATTGTAAAGAGAGAGACAATTGTAAGCAATCACCATGTGCTCTCCTGTGGACAATCCTGTCCACTCCAGTCCTCTTTAGTTCACACCCTGGAATCTGAGAATTCCCTGTTATTAGAGAATAATAATACCTATATTAAGGGTATTTCATGGTGACCATTTATAACTTAAGCTTGTGATTTAGGAATAAGCAAAGCCCACCCATCTATAGATAAGTTTCTCCGGTGATTGCTTGCTAATTAAAACAGAAGAACACTGCCATACCACTTCAAGGCAGAGCCGAGGGTGGCTGCTCTGTAACATGTCAGCTGTGGTTTCGTGGGGGTGTGGGGTGAGGGGTGGTGTTACCTAATCTAATCCATGTTCACAGGTGCCAGGTCCTAATCATCCTTTAAAATAAAAAAAAGTGAGACTTTGTGCTGCTACAAGAGAACTCAAACTGTCCCAAAGGAATGTGAAGGTTTCAAGGAAGCCACCATGAATTAAACAGAAAAATGACCCATCTTTAAAATGGACCTTGAACATTTCCCCAATACATTGAAAGCCTTGTCTTCCTTAGACAGATGGCCAAAGATAACAGCCCTTCAGCTGAGAGAACAGGACCCTAGGGTGCCCAGAAACAATAAATGGTCTTCAGAGTACATTTCAACCACTCACTTGTCCCAGAGCTAAGTCAAAAACAGCCCTGTGCCGAGAAGTCTCAAGCAGGTCTAATCTGTGTCCTTTCCAGACCCAGATGAGACACAAGTCAAGAAATGACCCAGAATGTTGCATCCCCTCCCACTGAGCCAAACACAGTGAAATGAGCAGCCCCAAGAAGCAGGTGGGCACCCAATAATTAATGGGCTGGCTGTGGTGGTGCATGTCTGAGATCCCCGAAGGTTGATGCAGAAGAACCAAGAATTCAAGGCTAGCTATTGGCCTCTGGAGCATGCACTTATCTAAGTACACACAGAACTTGGCACAGAAGGGCACTCGGCCGCCTGCCTTCAAACCAATCCCCTCCTTAGGTATCCAAATACAACCAAGACCTTCACTGTGTACTAAGGAGGCAACAGCTTGGAGTTCATTCGGATTTTTGTTTTCTTGTCTGGCAGACTTTTGCAAAAAAACAAGATTTTACTGGCAGTGTTTCAAGGCTGCCTTTGCCTCCCACTTCCTGCCCTCCACCCCCAACCCCGACCTTTGTCTACGGAGGAAGGCTTTCTGTACTGAGGTTCTTGGGCTGCTAATAATTTCAAACTGAAATGCCTCAGAACTTCCCCGCCCTGACCCCCCACCCCCACCCTGCACCTGTGTGTATCCCTATGCCTGTGGCCCAGTGTGCGTGAGACAGCTGAAAAGTCAGCCTTAGCAACGACACACCAATATCAAAATTAAGACATATTCAAGTTCTCTCTTGTTAAGTGTAATCTTCCTAATGAATGACTCAGAAAATACAGGATGTACTGACCAAAAGCAACCCTATTTTCAAAGGAAAATATATTTAATACTGTATCGCCGGGTTTTACTTTCTAAAACAGCCAATCGACATGATCATTCAATTGCTTACTTCCAAAGTAGAGCCGTAACACATCTTGTAAATTTGCCACGTTCCTTTAAAAAAAAAAAAAAAGTGTCTGAAAATTCTAAACTGTGAGTTACAATTGCCATTTTGGAAGGGTTTTCTCCTTAGCTCCCATTACATTCATTTGAATAAGAGCTAATGTGTTTACTAAGTTTCTGCTTCACACAACCCATCTCAAAATGTTCTGGTAAGAAAAGATGTTAAGCCAGGTGGTGGTGGCATATACCTTTAATCCTAGCACTCAAGAGACAGAGGCAGGCAGATCTGAGTTTGATACCAGCCTGGTCTATAGAGCAAGTTCCAGGGACACCCAAGATAACATACAGAGACCTATAGGTTAGAGAATGGGTTTTTGTTTATTTGTTTGTTCCATAAGTAACTACCACTAAATATTTTTGCTTTTGAAGGAGTGGGGAAAAAATGATGTGTTCAAGTGCTTGTTCAACCAATCCACACTCTATAGGCCTAAAGCTGAGTGAGTGCATGTGTGAGAGAGAGAGAGCGCCTTCCAGAGGATTAATAGTACATCATGTACATCTATAAGCATCCGTGCCTCCCATGGGTTGAAAACTGCATTCACAAGAAGCATATGCTGTGACTCACACCCACAGGATAGACTCCATTCTTGCAAATATGGGGCCTTTCACACAGAGACATGAGGGACGTAGGGGAGGGGAGGAAGGGAGAGAGAAGAAACACCAACATAATTTCAAGATGCCCAACTATAAAAAGAGGTTTACATCTTAATCCATGACAGTGGCACACTCAACAGGCCAAATAAGCAAGCTCTACAGATGTAAATCAAGAAGGATGAATCAGCATAGAGAGCAAGAGGACCTGGTGGGGTTGGGGGAACAGCTCGAATCTGAACTCAACCATTATCCCTCTGGTAGTCGATAGAATAGCCAATAACGTACGTCAGCAGTCCTCACAAGCCTGTGAGGTAGGAATGTGGAACGAGTTGTCAATGTGGTTTCCAATCCTACAATCAAGAATTGTCAAGAAGACAATTCAAAGGTTGATCTTACAGCCACTAATTCTACGGTCCATTTCTTACAGAACACTGGTTCTTAACCGGTGGGTCATAACCCTTCTGGGGGTTGCAGAGCAGATGTCCTTTGTATCAGATATTTACATTACAATTCATAACAGTAGCAAAATTACAGTTATGAAGTAGCAATGAGCTAATTTTATGGTTGGGGTCACCACAGCATGAGGAACTGTACGAAAGGGTCACAGCATTAGGACGGTTCAGAACCCCTGCTGCAGACTGTCACATTCTCTCCCCCAATGCCAATCCTTCACCATTCATTCTAGAAGCTCTAAGATGCTTTCCAAGTGGGCAGAGGAGGTGGGGAGTGGGAGAAGGGCCACATTGAGAACCTTCTAAGGCTATACAAAAGTTAGACCTCTGCATTCAAAGGTACCCTCTGGTACGAGGAACACCGCGACCCATCCGCCCTGACCCCTGGGAAGTGGAACGTGGGGGAAGGGTACATGACCAAGGCAGGCAGAAGATGAAGCCCCAGCTGGGGAGCCGAGAGGGCACATGGTTCCACCTTTGACCATCTCCGTAGACTGTCAGCCTCAGGCCTGGCCATCACTGAGACTGTGGGTTCTGGGAGCCCTCTTTGCTCTTACTGTCCTCTGCTGAGCTGCAATCAGACCCCGAGACTGAGGACTTGTACCCTCGAAGCGTGTGGGCATTCAGCATCTCCAGCAGCAGGTCATACACTGGGACCACATTTTTGCACTTCATGCTGAGCAGATGTTCCATGCCCTTGTTACTACAGGGGGAAAAAGCACTGAGAATCTGTACCCCCAGACAGCCATCGAATGTTGAGATAGTCCCCAAGTCTCCTGCACAAAGCCAGCCCATCTTCCACATTCCCTGTACTTCTAACCCGTTGTTCCGCAGTTCCCTCAATAGTTTACATTCAAGGGCAAACGTGGTACCCTCTTGACCTCCATCTCACCACCCAATGCTGCACCACGGGCTCACTCATGAAAAGCACAAAAACATAAAGACCAAGGTTCTAAATAGTGTCACTAACTGTAAGTAGGCTTCTTCACACTGGGAGGGTGCAAGCACCAATCTCCTCAACCAACCAAGCCAGGAATGTACATATCAAGACTTTGAAAAACGTTGCCATTCCTGGCTTGATCTTGAAAGGGTCGTTGTGTACTGATTCTGGGGCTATGAACAAACTTCAGCAATTTGGTGAACTCACACATAGTGAGGATAGATTAATATCTATTCTGCAAAGAGTCATGAGCCGAGTCATCGTTAAAGAATAAGGAATCTTTCTTCTTTCCTCCTCCATGTTAAATGCTTGAAGTGAACACGGACCTTCCCCCACAGTGCTTGCTACTCAGGCAAGCACTACCTTCCATCTTCACATCCTCCCTTCCAGACTTGGGCAGGGCTATCTTCCTGAGCAGCACCCCCCACTGAGCATCACTGTACCAACAACAGCCATCACAGCATCTTCATCAGTGCACACACAGTGCCCTTCCTGATCTGGACCGGGCTCCATCCACATCCTTGCTCCCTCAACCTATTGGGAAGTTCTTAGATCTTATCCTTGCTATCCTGATGCCATGGAAAACAGAAGGACAACTTGGTGCACACCCCAGTCCACGGCTGAAGAGTGACCAGGAGAGCCAGGCTTAGCATCCTTACAGAAATGACCCCAGGCCTTGGCCCTGGGGGTAGGGAGGTAAAAGGAAAGTGGAAACTCACTTTGGAGGGAGAACTGCCTGTTTTAGGACTCTTATCACCAAATTCTAAACCCTAGCAACTACATCCAGGTGGGTCCCACCAGCTGCCACAGAAACCCTATCAGGTGCCACGTGACACTCATTTAAACACTCACTATGTGCCAAGCGTTGATGCAGGTGTGTGCGCTGATGAAGCCCCTCCCATTGGAAAGTTCACTCTTCCTGTAAGTGAACACTCTACCATAGCCACTGCAGGCTTGCCTGCATTTTCCCAAAGCTCTGAGTGCATGCCCTGCCCACACCCCACTGAAACAACTTCCCAAGGGTCCGTACCTGATATGCCTGACATGAGAAAGAAGCATCAGGAGGTTGGCCAGGCGAACGGACTGCTGCTGGGAGGAAATGCCACTCTTGGCAATCACCCAGACCAGGGCATCTGTCACTGCGTTCAGGAGATGTGTCAGCTTCCGGCTACTCTCTGCCTCCTGGCTTGCTGTAGCCAGGGGGTACATACCTGGACAAAGAAGGAGAGCCCCCAAAGTCAGAGAAAAGGAAGCTAGGTCATGTGCTCAACTGTTGAGCATGCTACTCTAACTTGCACACGCACACCTGTGGTGTACTCTACCTCCCCCCCCCCCCGGGTCTTCCCGAGAGCAAAACCTTATCACTGAGCTATAAGGGAATCCTGGCTGGATACAGAAAAGATAAATGATCCCAGCTTAGTTCTGTGGCCTTGCCAAAACAATAGGCACTGCAAGTAATTATGTTTCACACCTGCAGCAAATGGCTACATGAAGATGGTCAGGTGAAATTATGTAAGTATATAGTTTATAAATCAGTATAAACTAATTCTTTACTCCCTTTGAGGATGATAACTTGCAATGACCACAGTGTAATTGCAAATCAAGAAGCCAAGGGCTGGGTGGTGGTGGTACATGCCCTTAATCTCAGCACTTGGGAGGCAGAGGCAGGCAAATCAGAGTTTGAGGCTAGGCCTGGTTTACAGTGAGTTCCAGGACAGCCAGGGCAGCACAGAGAAAACTTATCTTGAAAAACCAAAGGAAAAGAAAGAGAAAGGAAAGGAAACCAAGGCTTTAATTGTATCACTCATGGTTGGCTTTTCACTCAATGTGATAAAACTCTGACCCAAAGCAAGTTAGAGGAGTAAAGGGCACACCTCACCTTACAGGTTATGTTCTGTGACCAAGTACAGGCAGGAAAATGCAGACAGGAGCGGAAGCAGCCGCCTGCCGCAGAGAAGTGCTGCTTACTGACTCGCTCAGCCTGCTTTACTACACAACTCAGGACCACCTGCCCAGGGATGGCACCGCCCACAGTGGGCTGGGTCTTCCCACGTCAATCATTAATAATAAAAAAAAAAAAATGTCCTACAGACTTGTCAACAGGTCAACAGGTGGAGCCTCCTTCAGTTGAGGCTCCCTCCTCCCAGGTGACTCGAGTTTGTGTCGAGTTGACAAAACTAGTTTAACTTAAGCGGCAGAGGCAAGTGGATCCTATCTCTGTGAGTTCCAAGCCGGCCTCAGTAACACAGTGAGACTTCGAGGATGGAGCTCAGTGGACCTGCTCACCACCCTCCCCATTATCTGCTCCTCACCACCTCATTCATTCCCCTCAGCAGCCAAAATGCAGATCTCCTGTTGGCTTCCAGACATCGAGGCACAGCAGATCCCTACCATGTGGCACAGCATTTGAGGGACCCGAGTCTCCTCTTACTCTTTTTTTTCTTTAATTTGTTGGGGGTGGTGCATAACACGTGTAGAGGTCAAAGAACAATTTGCAGGAGTCAGTACCTCTCCTCCCACCAAGAGGGTCCCAGGGATCAAACTCAGGTTGTCAGGCTTAGAGGCAGTAGGAACCTTATTCAGCCATCTCACTGATTTACCTCCACCCCCAGAAAACTGAAAGTAGCCAAGGATGGCCTTGAACTTTTGATCTTTCTGTCTCTGTCTTCCTAGGGCTGTCATAGAGGCTTGAGCCAGCACACCCTGTTTATGTAGTACTGGGAACCAAACCCAGGGCTTTATATGTGGTAAGCAAGCACTATACCAGCAGAGCTCCACCCTCAGCCCTGTCCTTGATCTTTCGTTCCCAGACCTCACCCCAATCCCACTTTTAAGTCCCTGCACAGGTGCCACACTCTAGAGCATTCTCTACAGTCCGCTTAGGACAATGGTTCTCAACCCCTCTGTGGCCATGCATCGCATTTCCTGGTTATCAGATAGTTACATCATGGTTCACAACAGTAGCAAATTACAGTTATGAAGTAGCAACAAGATACATTTATGGTTGGGGGTCACTACAGCATGAGGAACTGTATTAAAAGTCTGCAGCATCAGGAAGATTGAGAATCACTGGCTTGGGATGTCATCCTTATTCTCCATTATTCCTTCTCTATTTATGGCCACTCTTCCTTTAGATCTCTGCCTGGTCATGAATTTCTTTCTAGAAACGTCTGAGTCCCAGCCTCATGTAGTAGAGAGCATTTAGGCTAAGGAACACTAGATTTCCTGGGGACATGGATTAAAATGTTCTAACCCATTTTGGTAATGACACGGAGTGAACATACTAACGAAAACTGAATTGTACACTTTTGTTTTAGGACACGATCTTGCCATGTAGCCTAGGCTGGCCTCAAATTCATACTTCTCCTGAGTCCTGGGATTACAGGTGTAGAACGCCACACACAGCTTGAATTATATACTTTAAATGGGTGAACTGTGGTGTCATTAAAATTGCCTTCAGAAGCAAAACCACAGTGGCATAAATGACCACTGGCAGCGTGTGGCTACCTTCAAAGAGCATGGTTGGTAGTCAGTCACCATCCTTCATGAGCCAGTGTCATTACCAAGGGCAGACCCTGGCCTCCTACAAGCTTGAAGGCAGTAAGTACAGTCCCATACAGAGCCTGAAGCCCATCGTGATCTGTTGGTTGGGGAAGGGGAGGCACCATGTTTAAACAGGCTCCTGCATGTCAAGTTTCTAGAAGGAGGAGTGTATATATGAAAGGTCTAAAACTAAAAGGATCCCAGGATCCACCCACTTTACTGTACCTCTCTCTCTAGTCAGGAATACCACACCCATTCTTTGGGCAGCCACATACCTGTTCATCAACATGGCATAAGGCAACACAGCAATTGCTAAGTGGCAGGCCTTCAACAGGGTCAAGTCAAGACAACCCTGTCAACCAGGTACACAGGAAGCAACAAAAACGAACCCCCTCCACCCCTAAAAATAGAAACACTATGATTCATCGTAAAACAAAACTAAATTACTTTTCATAAAACTAAAGAGGGAAGGGAGGGAGAGGGCTCTTGGCACAATACCCCAAACATCCCAAAGAAAGCAAGTCAAGGACACAGCCTCATCCCTGCCACTTCCTGGAACATCTGTGTGTTCCTCCCTCTAGCCCACCAGCCGTTCTGAAAGCACAGATGCCAAGAATTGTGGTACCCTACTCGTTCAAAGACAAAGGCCTAAGATTTGCTCGGCTGGAGGGAGATAACTCAGAAAATCTGGAGTGTGTTATTTAAAAATTCTAGAATATTATCGTGGAAAATTGTTTTCTGGCTTCGAAGGGTGAAGGGGAATGTTTGTGCTGTTCTAAAGCAAAATAGAATGTCAGCCTACGCCTGCTATTCTAAGTATTTCAGTTAATAAAATGTTTCATTCTTTCCAAATCTTAGGCTTGTTCAAATAGATCTCTTGCTAATTTATTTGTTTGTTTGGCATAATGTCTGGGCAGTCCAGGCTGGCCTCAAACTTGCTATGTAGTCAAGGAGGGCCTTGAACTCCTGCTTCTGCCGTCACCTCCCAAGTACTGGGATCACAGGCAAGCACGCCCATGCCAGCTCCCTGCCCCTAATTTAGGCTATTTTTAAAGAACAACAATGGTAATTATCTTCAGGCTTATTCCACTCTGTCTCCTAGATTAAATCCTAATTCTAAGGGAAAGTGGGCATAGTTTCAGATTCTTAGGTGACAAGGTTATCCCCTTATTTGGCATAATGTCGTTAACCCCACTGCTCATGTGATACCTTTTATTTTGTTTATTTTGAGCTAGGGTTTCTCTATGTAGCCCTGGCTTGTAGACCAGGCTGGCCTTGAACTCAGAGCTCCACCTGCCTCTGCCTCCCGGGAATCACCACCTCCAGGCAGGCACCACCACCACCACATGGCATGATACATTTTTAATTTATGAAATACTAGCATTCTAACAGGTTGTTAAATGTATAGTTTCTTGTCTCTATTTCAAGAGACTAGGCATTCCAGTTTCTCCTATACACTATATATGTGTGTGTGTGTGTGTGTGTGTGTGTGTGTGTGTGTGTGTATAGATAGGTAGATATGTGTGTATATATATCTATATAGATAGATAGATAGACATATATAGATATAGATATTAGAAGGGACACAAGTTTGAATTATGTCCCCTCCAGAAAGAAGAAATATGTCTTCCACTTAAACCCAGTGAAGATCAGAGTCTTTCTCTTAAGTGTACACACACAGGGCTCAAAGCCCTGAACTTAGTTCATTCTGCTATCCTTAATATTTAGAAATATTAAATATTAAACCAGCATCTGAGTTGAAATTTAACTAGATGCTACTGTTTATTTCTGGTCTATACTATACCCATTAGTAGAGATAATGACCTAGAGCCATTAAGGTATTCAAAATATCACTTTGACAAACCAGAACCCTCAGTACACTGGGGCCCTTATTCAGTTGGCTATTCTGTTACTGGTTTGTTTCTAGTTTTAGATACTAGATTATCTTTGAAATACAAACACAGAAGGTCAGCTAATAAGAAAACAGAATGTTTACTGAGCTAATTCCCACTTAGAGATGCTCCATATACCTTTGTGTAGATGTTTCCATAATTTTTGGTAGAATATTTCCTCTTTGAAGAATATCTATTACATTTCTTCCAGGATTTGTTTTTATTATTATTTTTAATTGTCAGGCATGTGAGTACAGTGCCCTCATAACCCAGAAGAAAGCATCAGATCCCCAGTAGCTGAAGGGTACTGGGAACTGTACCTGGGTCCCCAGCTAAAGCAGCACACCTTAACTGTTGAGCCCTCAGTATACCGTTCTGCTAGTGCTACAATCTTTCAGCTTTGTATGTCTGGAAATACTTTTATTTTACCTTTGGTTTTGAAAGCATATGGAATTCTAGAGCAACACTGTTTCTAAATGTGCAATTTTAAGTTGTTTGTTAAGATTTTAAGATATTGTGCATGTATGCCTCTATGTGCACATGAGGGCAGGTATCTGTGGAGGACAAAAGAGGGTGTTAGGTCCCCTGGAGCTGGAGTTACAGGTGTCTGTGAGCAGCGCAGTTGGGATTCCTGGGAACCAAACAGGGTTCACCTTCTGCAAATGGGGCCGATCCAACTCTCCAGCCCCTATGTCTCTGTCTCTTGACTTGGATTTGAAAATAGGAATATGCTGTCATCTTTACCTTTGTGTAAAAAGTCATCCCCTCCCCTCCCCCAGCAGCTTGTTTTTCTTTCTTTACCATTTTTCTGCTCTGGGTGTGGGGGTAAATGTCTGAACATTCCCAGTGACACCGAAGACAAATCACAGGCACAGGCCTATGACTTGAGCCAGACAGAAGAAAACCTGGGCATGGTGGCACACTGCTCAGGAAGCTGAGGCAGGAGGATCGTGGGCTTAAGGACAGCTTGGACTACATAGCAACTTCTTGTTTCCAAAAAGAAAAGGAAAGTGGTTTTCCTCTTTCCTGCTGGCTTTAAGCAATTGGATGACAACCTGTCTTGCTGTGGCTCTCCACAAGATTCTTGTGCAGGAGTTTAAGTGAGCATCCTGGAAACTGTGTTTACCATTTTTAGTAAGTCTAGAGCATTTTCAACCACGTGTCTTTAAGAATTTTCTTCCAGCTCCTCATAGTGACTGCCACAGCTGCATCAAGTCACTCTCCTTACTGGCCATTTAAAACCTGCTGCCGTCTCTTCTGTGACAGCTTCACGTTGACAAGGCCGTGTGGGGCCGTTGGGACATTGTGTGTCCTGCCCCACCTGCTCCCACTTTCCGTATGAAATTCAGTGACTGTCTTCATGTCTCTGTAGAGTCGCTTCCATTCATTTCATTCTGTCACCTTCCCAACTGAGTGGCTTTTATCCTGTTGGAGAGCATATTTTCTTCTTTGCACACTTCACTAAGGTTCAATTTGTTATTTTGAGTATTGTGAATTCTGGCTCGAATTATGTTCTATTTGTTGTCATTGTTTCCCCCCCCCCTTGCTTATGAGTATTCACATTGGTGACAGTGTTGGCAGTGGGGGGGGGTCAAAGTCATGGACTCAAGTATGTTAGGCAAGCGCTCTTTCAACTGAACTAGATCCCCGAGCCCCCGGCTTCTTTGTAATAATACTGAAGACTGAACTATAGGCTTCGTCCACGAGCTGGTGAGAACTACAAATATTCTTGAGCTTTGTGCTAGATTGTAGATTAAATTATTTCACAATGTCTTGATAATCTGAACTTGCTTTTTTTTTTTTATGTTTTATTTGGTAGCCTGTAGACCTGGGCTCACTTTACCCCATCACTGTGGCAACAGCTTTCCCAGTGTGGTGATATTTTGTTTATGATCTAGCAAATAAAGCTTGTCTGAAGGTCAGAGTGCAAAGCTAGCCACACCAGTTAGCCATAGAGGACAGGCAGTAGTGGACACACCTTTAATTCCAGCACTCAGGAGGCAGAGATCGATGGATCTCTGTGAGTTCAATGCCACCCTGGGCTACATGAGAATAAATCAGCCTAAAAGAGAAACACCTTTGATCCCAGTACTTGGGATGGCATGCCTTTAATTCCAGCACTAGAGAGAAATGTAAGACAGGAGCTCAGTGCGCTCTAGGCAGTCTGAGGAGCAGTGCAGTCTGGAGATGCAGTCTGAGGACAGGATCACCCCTTTGGTTTGAGCATTGGTAGAGGTGAGAACTCTCTAGTGGCTGGCCACTTTGCTTCTCAGACCTTCAGGTTTAACCCCAATATCTGCCTCTGGGTTTTTATTATCAGTGCTACACCCCAGTGTTTTCTCATCCCAGTGTCCAGGATATTACAAGGTTTTCCAGCCGACTGGTGAGAATGCAAGGCATGTCTCAGTCTGGGAGAAGAACTTCAGAGATCACTTCCATCCACCTTCCCTCAAGCTTCCAACACCCATAGGTTAGCACTCGGCCGAAGGCTTAAAGAGCGCCACCTGCGGGCCAGAGATGCTGCGTGCAGTCCTTTTCCTCTCAAGCACTCCCTGCCCTTCCCCTTCGAGGTCTAACCCACTTTCCACGCCAGATCCCACCACTGTCTGACAGCGCCCTTTGCTCTCCCCAGAGCTATTCTGTGAATGTTCTCTCCCAGTCCACAGGACAGAGTAATTTAAAAACCAGTCAAATGCGTTAGTCACATAAGCCAGGACTCATATGTTGCCCTTTTCATAGTAATTTCCTGTCATTATAGCAAGGTGGGGCCAAGGTTATAGCTGAGAATGGTAGCACACTTACCTGGCATGGGCAAAGCTCCGGGTTTGAGTGCCAGTTTCAAAAAACCATGTTTAAAAGCCGACATACTCACATTGGGTCACTCTTCTCTAAGTACAGTGTAACAACTGTGTACCTAGCATGCACATTGGGTTAGGTGTTGCAAGTATCCCAGGATGTTGTCAAGTATATGAGAGTCTACACACAGGTGTAGGTAGATACAACTCCGTTTTATGTAAGAGAAGGTGGCATCCATTGATTTGGAAAGAAGCAGAGGGAGAGAGAGAATGAGTTGGGGGCACTATTTCCAATGGTCAACAAGGTTATGGTGACTATCTTGAAGAGGGCTGGTTCCTGCTAACTGTTCTTATCTTCCTTTATGGTTTTCTTCCATCTGAATGTTGTTCCCATCACCATACATTGTTTATATAAGAAAAACTAGGAAAGCCAAAACATCCACTCAGCTCAGACACTGTCCTACCTGCCATCTCTGAAGTCAAGCCCCTCCCCCTGTCCCTCCCACACCAAGTCTGTTTGGGCTCACTTCATCCTGAAGACTCCCTTGCCCCAGTCTCTCTGCGTTTCAGTCATTGCTCCCTATAGAAAGTGAGTATGACCTTCCCACAATACACTTCTGCACACAGACATGCCCCACTTCCCAAAAGAGCCACTTGTAGCTCCTCTCTGAGAGCCCCGGGTCTTTCCCTTCTGCAGTCCACTGCATCTCTGACCCTCGACTCTGTACATCTGTACATCCCAGTATAGCATCGACATCATGAGCTTTCATAATTGGCTTTCGACCTCTCCCAATGCTACCAGCTACTTGACTGTAACTTAAGTGCTAGTTCTGAACAAATAAATGCATATGTAAAAGTAGAAGCTGAAACATTAAATAAGGATGATACATGTTGACCATGTGAAATGCCTGTGTCTGGCCTGAAGAAAGGCTGGAGGGTAAACACTTTAAAGTTCACTCTTCATTTTTTTGGGTGTTCTGAGACAAGGTTTCTCTGTGTAGCCCTGGCTGTCCAGGAACCGGTAGACCAGGCTGGCCTTGAACTCAAAGATCTGCCTGCCTCTGCCTCCTGAGTGCTGGGATTAAAGCCTGCACCACCATGTCCAGCTTCAGAACCACTTTTCAAATCCACTGCCGGTAGCCCATCCAGTGAATAACTTATACTCGAGTTAGCAAACACTAACTACAGTCTAAATCCATGTAAAATGCTGAAGTTGGGAGTGAGGCTGTTCTCTCTAAATGAAACAGAAGTTTGGCACTCTTGACCACCACACCAGTTCCATGGTTTTTCTCCCCCCTCCCCCCCAAAGCACAGTGCAGCTGTGTGGTTACTCACTGGAGTTGAGGAGGATCATGGCCTTCACACAGAGATACTCTTTGTGCTGGAGTTTTAACTCACGGAACCTTGATGTCGTCGCCAGGAGCATGTCAAAGATTTCCAGGATCCCTTCTACGCACTTGCCCTCATCCCTGAAAGAATTCATTTGGGAATTGAAGGAACACAGAGCATTAGACAGACATCAAGAAATGACATCTTAGGTGTCATCTTGTCCATCCTATGACTATGGCATTAGTAAGAGCACACTTAACAATGGGAAGTTGCTAGTACTAGGCCCATATAAAGAAAACAAAATATGCTCGGCGCAGGCTCAGTGGTGGGACACTTGCCTAGCACTCAAGGCTATGGGGTAAATTCCTTTAACATTGGGGGGGGGGCATTTCCTAACACAGGGCATTTCTTAAAACTTCGTAAACCATGTTTTCAGGCAAGAGTGTGCACTGGGGTTACCTGTTTCTTTCTGCTTTGCTACAAAGGGACTTCTTGAAGACATTGTCACTCCTATGGCTTATATACAAACCACTGTAGTTAACCAGCCTCACTGGAAACGACTGAGCTGATTAAAAGGGAGATCTCACACTCCCATCAGGAAGTATGGATGCGGGAGCCTGTTGGAACCAAATATTTCAAGAAAAACTTTCATATCTTCATACATATGACTGAGTTTTGAAATCTGTCTAGAAACCAGGAGACAAGTAAGTGGCATTTGAAGAAAGCAAATGTGACACACAGAAATTACAACTGAAGGTGGGTTAGTCAGGGAAAGGAGACAGGCATGGGGGCAAGTGATCATTTCTTTCCTTTGACTGACTGAAGTAGGTTTTTCTGTTCGTTTAGGTTCTGAGTCTTTTGTTATGTTTTATTGAGACAGGGTCTGTAGACTTGTATTGAGACTGGCCTTCATCTCCTGGTCTCCCTACCTCCATCTCTGAAATACTGAAATTACAGATGTATGCCACAACACCCAGCCTGAAGATGACTTTTAAACAAAGGTTTTTGGACAAACCTTTGAGTGTGCACTCTAGGAATGCATTATCACACATGAACTAGAAAGCACCGGTTTCAATTCACACCAGCCAGACACACATCACTCCACCTCACCACTCTCAAAAGCTGGCCCTTCTCCTCGGTTGCAGGGCCACTGGAGGGCAGTGACTGGCAGCTAGATGATTTTGCCACAAAGTCCTTCCAGTTCCTGAAAGCCTGCAGGACACAGCAGTGGGGACCACGACAGAAAGGGGCGCCCGTGGAGGTCTGCTTTTAATCACTTACTAGATTATGAAAGGACGTTGAAGTAGAACAACAATTAAAAACAAACAAAAACCTGACTGTTCACTGTCTCCTCTCACCCCCAAACCAGGTCATTTCCAGCGAATGTGGTATTTCGGGAGAAGTCATGTGCACTGACACCACTGGATACTACCCATCTTGCTGTTAGCAACTCGTCAGGACCCTGTATTCCACAGCATTCAGAGCCCACAGACTCACTCACACACAGCCACAAGCACACAACCGCTTACTTTGGCGGATCTGCTGGAAACAGTTGCCTCTCTCTGCCAGTGTGGAGCTAAGTGACAAAACGTCAGTGTCCCCTAGGGGACCAAAATCTATGCAAGCCCTGATACTCTGTACACCCTATCTTCACACTGCCCCTAAATCTTCTCCTCGGCTCTGAATTCCTGTAAGAGTGCCAGAAGCCCTGAATTTAGCCAGTGGAGAGGAAGTACCTGTGCAATGAATGCCCCTTGTGACGAATTGTCACACCACTCTGCCTACTAAAGGATCATTGCTTGAAATTATAAGTGCTGAGCTTCAAGATATTTGATACACAGAGAAGCTGATCTGAATATGTCACCAAAGAGGAAATGAACAGATGCTAACTCTTGCACTGACATTTTCATTTTGTTTTGTTTATTTTGCTTTTCTGAGACAGAGACTAATTACGTAGCCCAGCCTAGCTTCAAACTTGTGACCCTCTTGTCTCTGCCTTTCCAGGACTAGGTGTTGGCTACCATGCCCAACTGTGAATTGATGGTTTAATAGCTTCTATAAAATTTAGACTCAAGTGGAGAAGGGTAGTTATGTAGCACACACACACACTCCCCCAAAGGATAAATCAACTCAGCTGAAATCAATCCTATTTTCCAGAAGTTGCCACTTATGCCAAAGAAAAGCCACTAAATATCAGGATTAATACCCATTTCTACATTGAAAACATTGCATCCTAATAAAATTAATACTTTGAAACTGAGTTGTTTAGGTATTGGGGCATCTGGAGTCCCTGTAAACCTTGCAACTTCAAGTCATCCACATATGTTCATAGAAAAAGTCACACTCTAAATGAACTAGGCCATTTCCTTCCTAACACGTGGGACAGGCAACCGTTTCATCTCAAGTGGGCTTCAAGTACCTTCAGTGACATCACAGGCTATAGAATCTAAATACAGCTCTAGAAAATAAATGAGCCATGTAGGGACATAAAGTACGTCTCCCAAGTGACTCTCAAGAACATCCTGCTTTGAAATGAGTCATGCCGAATAAAGTGAGGAAGGACTGTTATAAACTAATGAGATCCATGCCATTCACTTGTAATTAGGAATTGAAACCAAGTTATGAGTAAGAATGTAGGATGGGGATTAAGAGTTTCAAGATAGGGATGCGATTGGAGTGTTAACATAGGAAGCCACACAGCAGTCGAGTCAAGCTATTTATAGAAGTACACTTCAAGGTAGTGCCAAATAAAGATTAAATTAGTAATTGCATGTGGAGTGACTTTCTTACTTGAATGGTTTTTCATTAGAAAAAAAAAACCCTGTTTTGATACAATGACAAAATATTGAGTGAGCTTGTCTTGCTTTGGCGTTGCCTGTTTTCCATCTCTGTCTTTATCCAGCAGGCGCCACACCAGTTTATCTCTGTGTGCATGGCAACTGGACAAGGGTAAGGGGCCCGACTGATGGCTTAGCACATGGGAGGGACTTCATAAATACTTATCCAAAATGAAATTACTCGGCCACAAAGGGTAAACTAAAATTTAGAAGTAATGGCCCATGATCTTTAAGAACATTCAGCATATCAATACTGAGTGTGAATGCAGCCCCTAAGAACACTCATAGTCATAGGAGTCTGGAGGGCCCTGTGTTCACAGTGCGGTCCCAGCCCAGCTCCAAATGTCCAGTCACAGCTTTGTGGACAGTTTCCTGTTGATGCTGACACAAAAGTGTATTTTTTTATTTAAATTACATCATGTATGTCTATGTCTGTGTGCGTGCGTGCGTGCGTGCGTGTGTGTGTGTGTGTGTGTGTGTGTGTGTGATAGTTAAAGGTCAGAATAGTTTGGTGTAGTCAGTACTCTCCTTTCACGGTATGAGTCTTAGGGATCAAACTGAGGTCATCAGTCTTGGTGAAAAGGTCCTCCTACCCACTGAGCCATCTTGCCAGCCACATATGCATTTTGGGGCAAATATAAGCTCAGATTCCACACTAGATCTTCACATGAAGTTATGTTTCTAATGGATGCCAAAAGAAGTACCTTGTTACAAATAAGCCCAAACCACTGGGTTTTTTCCTTCAGCCCGGGTACATCCAAGGTTATTATTTCATTTTGTTTTCTGTAGAAATCTCAATAAGAACAAATGGGCACAGGTAGGGGGTTTAACTCAGTCACCAAGGGGCTGCTTAGCAAGCACAAGGCTCTTGGTTTTGTACCCAGCACCAAAAAACAAAACAAAACAAAAACCCAAAAAACAACAACAACAAAAAAAAAAAAAAAGACCAAAACCACAACAATAAAAAGTAGTTAGTGCTTGCATTCCTGTGAAACACCATGTGAAGAATCTCAGACACGCCAGGCGGTGGTGGCACACCCATACTGAGAGAAGGGAGGGGTCACATTTACTACCGTACATGGTCTCCAGTCACTGACTCAGTTACTGAAACACTAGCTCTGGCATCCATCTAGAAACTGAAACAAAATGTAAAATAATTTTAGCCCCACTATGCATCAATGCGTGGAACTGCTAGCACGGTAGAATTGTGTGTATATGTGTATGTGTGGCTAGCGTGGAATTGTCGTATATGTTGTGTGTGTGTGTGTGTTTGTGAAGCAGAGTGAATGAGTGAGTGACAGCTTGACTGACAGCTCTGAGGTGACAGGAGCAGTGTGCTTCGGAAGTGAGTAGAAATAGGCCCAGTCATAGGGATGTGTTCTGAGGTAAAAGAATAAATTATGAAATCACTTTGCCTTTGGCCTTCTCTTTCCCCTTCCTATTCTCTTTCCCACGGGGGGGGGGGGTGCTATGTGTATGGACTTTAGAATCAGATCCCCATTTCTCCACTATCTCTTACTGCCCTGCCCGTCAATCAATTACCTCACTTCCCATCTCCCTAACTGAAGAACTGGAATGACGAACGGTGTTCACTCCCAAAGGGCTTTTGGAAAGGTGAAATAAGGTGACACACATCAAGTGCTTAAGATGGTACCTGGCACACACCAGCTAATGTTAGCTATGTGATGGTCACTGGAGGGTCTGGTACCTGCCCCACTGCTCTGGCCTTCCAGAGCCTCCCTCTCTCGATCACCACTTGGGCTTGCTCCTGCTCAAGCCACATCCCATGCTTCAGCTCTTCCCACTGGATTTGTTCTCCACCAAAACACCTCCATTACTCAGAACAGTGCTCTCTGTCAATGCCATCCATGACAACAGGCAGAATGGATGCTGATACCTTGGGGCAGCACTCTTCATCTGCGCAACGTGCCAGTGAGGGTCTTCTGATGACCTACAGTGGTAACAGGATTATGATGCAAGAGTTGGGGTGGGCACTTTCGGTTCACAGCACCAGGCATTCTCCTGCTCTTGTGCCCAGTCTAACGTGCTGAACACTTAACACTAGTCCTTTTTCCATGGAGATCATTTTCAAATCACTCAAAGGTACACCAACAGTTTTCCATCTCCTCCCTATAACAAAGCTTGACTGTAGTTGAACATTCCAGTTTATCTTCCATAAACAGTTCAACTAAATCAAACCTTGGTTCCTACTCTCTGCCATCTTTAAAAGAAAACTAAAAGCAACCACTTTGTGACATCGTGTCATGGCCCAAAGCAATGTCTGCTTACTTTCATTTGGAGTTAGTACTGGGCCTTCCCACTGCTCCTTCCAAAAAATGCTACTAGAGATAAATGATTCTATTAGCATTAAAGCTATGGCATATGAAAATAAATTTGGAAGGGTCATAAGCACTTTATCACCTGTCCAGAGATGTAACTCATAACTCAACAGTGGGGCAATTTAAGAATATAATGTGAGAACAGAAATTTTAATGCAATATATATATATATATATATATATATATATATATATATACACACACATGTACATATGTTGACTGTGCACTCAGTGGCCATTACCCTGCAGGGTGCAGTCCCCTGCCACAGCCCTGGCTTGTGACTGTTGGTGCACCATTGATTAGAACAGATTGTGGAAAATTAATCCTGGTACCCATGCCCTCCTCTTCATGGGCTCTTGACCCAGTGAAGGAGTGGATGGTGTTATCAGCCTCTAATTGCCCTTTCAGGTGTGAGAATTTAATTGCAGCACCTAGGACTTGGCTCCCACTCAAATTGCTTAGTTCAACAGATCAGAGATGAAATGCAAAGTATTTTTTTTCTCACCTGTCCAGAACGAGGTCTGGAGCAAAGATGAGCTTGCCGGGGTGGTCGATTGAGCGCCACATCAGCCCCACCATTAACACCTCCATCCAGCAGCTTTCCAAGAGACGGACTTGGTCCAACAGGCTGAGCTCCACGAATCCTGGGGAAACAAAAGTCCATGAAACCCTCCCCCCCATAAGGGAAACACCAGTAACTGGGAGCCCCTACATTCTATACTCTTGCTTTTGGGATAATTGGTGTTAACCTCTTCCAAAACCCCTTGGCAATCCTTTTCTGTAAAGACAGAATGGCAAGTTATTAAACGCCAAGGAATCTCAGACAACAAAGGGAAGTAATCAACCAATATTTCAAAGAGGTGATTAAATGTTGGTTAATGGAACCTCAGCTGTGCAACTTGCAGCTTCCAGCTCCAACCCCTCCAGAAAAATAAACTCTGTTTGATATTCCTAAAGAATCATTGGCTCCCCAGATAGAATGGGCACAAAAGGCAGAGCTAGGCTTGTTAGCTGTGACTATACAGTCCTAATAATTCCAGAGGAAGCCAAAGCTCAGCTATCAATCAAAGAGCAACTGAAGCAGATGATACTCTGATGGCATGAATTAGCCACAGCACTGGAAGGAAACACAGAATCCCTAGGGAGTGAATGCCTTGAACACAAGGCCAAGGACATAGGAACTTCTTCCAAACGCTCGCTAATAAGAGGGGGCTGTGAACACAGAAGCCAAAGTACAGCCTACAGCCTTGGAATTTCAATGGAGTCTGGTTTGGAATATCACTTAGTCCCTCCCTAACTAAAAGGAAAGATAGATAGATAGATAGATAGATAGATAGATAGATAGATAGATAGAGAGTTTTGCTCACGAGTTTTGCTCTCCCCCCCCCCCCGTAATTAATCTCTTGTCAAATCTGTTTTTCTTGTAGGAAAAATGGAAGTGATCTTGCCTCCCTCTGAGAATTTCCTAGAGGAAAGATGGCTTATAAATATTTTACCAGTGTTACTACAATGCAAGACCACACATACTGAAACCTTTGGATAAAGGTACTGTAAATGTGCACAACGGAGAAGTGAATGGAGCACGAATGTAAAGAAGGACAAATCCAAAGCTGGGGAGATGACTCAGTCAGTACTCAGTAGGACATTATAAGGACCCTAGTCTGATCCTTAGGACCCATGTAGCATCCACCTATAATCCCATCACTGGGAAGAAAAACAGAAAGATCTCTGGGGCTCACTGGCCAGCCAGTCTAGCCAATCAGTGAACTCCAAGTTCAGTGATAGAGCCTGTACCAAAATATAATGAGGCAAGCAACTAAGGAGACACCAGTGTCGACCCCTAGTCTTTAGACTCTCACATACAGGCATGCACACACACACAAGCACATATATGCACCACACACAGACAAATCTTCAGAGTCATGTGCTTATGCTCAGTTCAGGTCCTCATACATTACACTTTCCAATCTCACAGTCATATGTAAGACACCTGCCAATCTTTCAAAATGCTGGGCTTGAAGAAAGATTGGGTGGGGTTGCAAATAGCTTCCCGAGGTCAGGAATCTCATTTCCGTTTTTCCTGTGAGATCCTGCAACTGGTGTTTGGGAAACCCTTGAAACGGAAACTAGAGGAAAGTGCATCAGTGTTTTCCTTCTCTGGGAAATAGCAGACAAAATGAAATAACTCTGGCAAAGGTGGAGACCCTGGACAAGACAAAGCTGGAAAGCAGATCTCCAGAAAGCGCAGAAGAAATGGGGCCAGCCAACAACAGCCACCAGAGACGCTTGCACCAGGGGCCATGGCTCCCACAGCTCTTTATCCATCTACTCAACCAAATCTTTACCATTCACCTCATACAGCTACTACCCCCACTGCCCCAGGGCCATGGGAACCTGGCTTAGAATTCAGATGGGGAGAGACTTTATTTCTTAGATGGCTGGAAAAGAAGTGGATGGCCCACCCTGTGAGACTCTCATCTCAAAACAGAACAAGATGTAGGGCTGGCACCATGCCTCAGCCAGTAAGAATGCTTCTCATGAGAGCCTGATGGTGTGACTTTGATCCCTGGGACCAAAGGTGGGAGGAAGGAACTGAGTACTGAAAGCTGTCTCTGATCTCCACACACGCACCATGGTGCATGAGCAGCCATTCACACACACATACACATACACAATGCACTAATGATAATAATAATAGTAATAATAAACACTTATAATAATATAAGCATTATATTTTAAATGTATATATTAAATATTGTATATGATATAATATTATTTAATATTATTTAAATCATGTAAGTATAATATTTTTAAATAGGTGCATTTAATAAACTTAACCTATTCAATATCACAGCTCAGGGTAGCTGACCTTAAACATGCTTAGAACACTTTGGTCAGCTTACAGTTTGGCAAAACCATTTAGTACAAGGCCTGTTTTATAATAAAGCATCAATAGCTCAAATGATCTCTTGACTCTTATACGAAGGAGAAAACCAGAATGAGTAAAAGTGCATACTTCCAGCCATCAGTCACACCCACAGTGAAGAACTGTGAGCCAAACCGTCATTAGTTGGGGGTTAGGTACAAATGGGCCTGGGAAAAAGTGCTTATTCTACATGATCCCATTTTGATAGCAGGAAGATTTACTGACCCATTGGTTTACAATATTTCAACTGCTGAAATACTCTATTTGTATATAATACCGATTCTTTCTCTATTGGAGTGACATTTTATACATCCCTATTTAGCATCTGACAAGCCTTCTACTTCCACACTGGGAATGGCTCTATCCTTTTCTGACCTGTGATACCTTTCCTCACAAGTTGACAAGTCAATAGTCAAGAGACTGGTCAACATGGAATTCACATTTCTACCTTTTGATCAGGCCTCTAGATTTGCCCAGGTGACCCTAAGTCCAGTTCCAAAGCCTGCATATGTTCCTTCTCAGATTTTATCACAGACCACACCTGGGCACTAGAGGTAAGTGACAGGCATTGTCTGCAGGATATGGGAGCATTAGAGTGTTACAATGTGTGCAGGATGGATCTGGAAGCCAAACACGAAGAGAGTCAGATATAAACAGAGGCTATATACAATGCTTCCTGAACTCCATCTGATATAAAACTCGAGAGTCTGGGAATTCTAAACAGAATCTAACCTTCCAGGACATATTGGGGTTATATATGTCAAGAGAAAGAAAAACACCATTGTTATAAGTTACAAATTTTGCTGAGCAGTTAAGAGTATGTACTGCTCTTGCAAATGACCCAAGTCCCATTCCCAGCTCCTAGGCTGAGTTCGATTCCTAGCATCCACACTGGACAGCTAGCTCACTATTACACAAGCTTCAGGGGTATCTGACATCTCTGGCTTCCTTGGGCACCTGCAGTTATGTTCACATATCTCCATGTAGGTGCGCACATATACACAAAATCAAAATTGAATATTTTTAACAAATCTTACAAATAAAAGCTTACAAGGCAAAGTGTCAAACAAGCTATTACACATCCAGATGAAGTTCCCTGTCCTCAAAATGTGAGAGACAGGCCTTGTCACAAATCAACAGAACGAAGTCAAGATGTAGAGGGTCCTACCAGGGATTTTCTTGGCCCAGCCAATCATGTGCACCAGTTCCTTGTCGGCCAGCTTAGTGAGGGACATCATCATGGAGGCCTCGGTGAAGGGCATGCTGGGACGGCTCACTAGCACATTGGGCGGCTCAGCCTCCAGGAGGGTGAGCACCAGCTGCTCCGGGCTCAGGGTGCTCAGCAGTAGCTCCTTCACCCGGGGGACGTGCCCACTGTTTCTCTTGACTTTGCTCAGGCAGTGCGCCTGCTCACTGGAACTTCTCTGTCTTCGCACTATGCGGTACCCACACCTTTCTCTCCTGGATCCTAAAGAGGAGAGCAGATGACAATTCAATTCAGTGGTTTCTCTGCCCAAGATTTCAGATCACTGAATGACCAGTCTAGAAATGATGAGGGGCTGAGGGTATAGGTGAGTAGGTTAAGTGCTCAACTCGCATGTGCAAGGCCCTGAGTTCGACGCCCAGTACCAGCACTGTAAGAAGACCCTGTGTTGACAACATCATTCCAGTTTTTATTTTGGAGTCTGTGGGCCACGGACAAAGATAATGACTGTCTGGATGTATTAGCAACATAACGTGTTTGGGCACTTCGGCTCCGTTTCAAGGTTATCACTGGCTACTGAATCTGTTTCTCTTCTAAATCCACTGATAGAACCCAGGTTCAAAGATATGAAGTTAGACATTTTCCTCAAGTAGAAAATAAGGAAAAGTAATGAACTTAACATTGCTATTTCCAATTAGCAAATAATACATGTCAATAACATTTTAAAAACATTTATACACATGTATGTATTTTTTCTTTTTATATACTTACACAAACAAATATATTTCAAATAAATTAACTGAAAAGGCCTGGAAAATACAAAAGAAAATTAATTTTGGCATAAATTCTTTCAGTATTTTTTCTTTTATCCTTCTTTATATTTTATATTTTTATAACTTTGAATTGTATTATATACACTTTCATAAACTGCTCTTAACCTATTTGAAAATATATCACTTGGGCTGGGGAGACGGCTCAGTGAGTAACAGCATCAGCCACACAGGTTTCATGACCTGAATTCAACACTCGGAATTCAAGTAAACAAAGCCTCATATGCCAGGTGTAGTGGTGCATGATTTGCTTCCATCACTCAGGAGGTGGAAGGCATGTGGATCTTTGTGAGTTCAAAGCCAACCTGATCGACATAGTGAGTTCCAGGACAGCAAAGGCTACATGAGAACCTGTCTGGGGGTTGGGAATACAATAGCATTACATTTGTAATCCCATCACTCCTACAGTAGACAGAGACAAAAGAACTACCCAGAAGCCCACAGTCCAGCTAGCCTAGAGAATACAGTGCCAAAACAGGATGCCTCAACAGGATGGAAAGATATAACTTACTCCCAAAAGTTGTCTGATCTCCATGAAGTGCTGTAACACACACACACACACACACACACACACACACACACACACACACACACACAAAATAATAAACCAAGTCACAATCTGTAAAGCATTCCATTCTATTAATATAATATCATTTATTTCACTGGGACCCAGGCAGAGCCTAGAGGATTGTCACAAATTCCAGGCCAACTTGAGATATATAGTAAATTCCAGGCCAGCTTAAACTATGGAGTAAAGGAAATCATACCTCAAAAAACTAAAATGTCCCATGCTGATGAAAGTCTATGTTATTATAATTTCTTTACTAAGTATTGTAGTGAAAATGTGCCTTATAGGTGTATTCAATTACTTCTTTATAATAAATTCAAAGAAGTTAAGTTGTTCGAACAAGGCATACACACATCAAAATTTTTTTAATTGTTAATAGATTACCTTCCAAAATATTTTAAAATCCATAATTTATACCATAATTTAAGGACTACCTATTTTCCAATATTATTGGGCATTAGTGTTACTTTTAATCACTGTTAGTTTTGCAAGTTAGTTTTGCGAGTAAATAAGCAGTCTTATTTTGCTTTTTTTGGGGGGGGTTGGTTTTTTGTTTTGTTTTGTTTTTGGTTTTCAAGACAGGGCTTCTCTGTATTGCTTTGGAGCCTGTCCTGGAATTAGCTCTGTAGCTCAAACTCACAGAGATCCACCGGCCTCTGACTCCCGAGTGCTGGAATCAAAGGCATACACCACCAACGCACGCTGCTTGTCTATTTATTTTTATCCATTTCTCTTCTAAAATTTATTGTTTTTTCAGTTTAATTTTTTTATTTCATTAACTTAAAAGGTGGACAAAATGTGTATTTCAAATTTTATAACCTGAAATATACATTTACATAGAGGACAAAAACAGATAACAGGATTTCAAGTAACTTATGGGACAGTCATTACCTGCTAAAAATATTCCTTTTTCTTCCACACATGCAATCTTTCCTTTTTGCAGTATAAAAGCTAGGTGCAAACTTTTGCTGTATAAACTTATCTCATTGTTAACTGTATTGATGAACATGGGAGACATGCTTGTTCACAGTTCAGTTAAATACAAAAACAAAAAGCTGTTCTCAGACACAAAGATGCCCATGTCTCTCTCACAGGACTGTGTACATCATTTCTTCTTCTTTCCCTTTTTACTCCCCTCTCCTTGCTGAAGACTCGGGTAAGCGCCTCCCGTGTTTTGTATTCTTGTTTTTAGCTTGGGCATCATTTCAGCTACATACAGCATCACTGACTTACCTGACTGGAACTGTACAGGACAGAGGCTGCCATCTTCCTGATGGAGCTGTACCCGGCTTTTGCTTCTGTACTGAACGTCACGGTTCCATTCTCTGGAGTACATTTTGTTTTCCTCCAGAAATGCATTCAGTACAACTGCTGAGCATACATCCCGAATCTCAGTAGCGGTAGGGTTTGCTACAGCCTTACTTACGGGAATCTGCCTCCCCTCTGCCATGGTCGTCTTATTTAAATAACAGAAGTAGATACAAATAAACCTGTCCTGGTCTGCCCAGACCACATGGCTATGCAAGCCATCTCCACAGAAGTCCCCACAGTTCCACAGGCCAAACACCAACTGGAAATTCTCTTCTAAAATTTATAATGGCTCTTTGTATAACATTGATACATGCAGCATCTGGCTTGCTTTATGTGTTTAACCTTTGCTCATGGTATCTTCTACCATAAGAAGATTTATTAAGAGGCTGGAGAGATGGCTTGGCAGTTAAGAGCACTGGCTGCTCTTCTAGAAGTCCCAGGTTCAATTCCCAGCACCCACATGGCAGCTCACAACTGTCTGTAACCATAAAATGTAATTCCAGGAAATCTGATACCTCACATAGACATATATGCAAACAAACACCAATGCACATAAAATAAAAGTAAATAAATCATAGAAAAGAAAAATTAAAAAAGAGGCTTTAATAAATGGTCAATTTGTTTAACATCAAGGTTATAAAAGTATTCTCCTTTATCTTCATAAATACTCATTAAAACCTATCTGGAATTTTATACATGTTTGTATCACATACATGTTTGCATTATATACATGTTTATATTATGTGAGGTTAATATTTCATGTCACATTCCCCAAATAAACAGTGTTGTGTATACTTGCTATATCTTAAGCCTTTCCTGCCAATTTTAATAATAAATATTTATTTATGTAGGTGATTTATTCCTGATTCTTTACTCAGTTTTATTGATCTGAATTTCTATGCCTGTGCTAGTACCAAAATATTCTTGTTATTGTAGGGCCTATGGATCAGAGCATAGTGAAATTGGTTTATAAATGATGAGGGGAAGCCAGGAGTGGTAGTGCGACCCTCCAATTCCAGGACTCAAGTTGGGGGCAGAAGGGCCAGGAGCTCAAGGGCATTTTGTCTACATAGTGAGTTCAGGGCCAGCCTGGATGGACTACATGAGACTGTTAAAAAAAAATTATGTTTTGAAACAAGGGTCTCATTCTGTAGCCCAGACTGACCTCAAACTCTTAGAATATACCTCCCTTGGACTCCTAAGCGCTGGGATTACTGGGATTAGCCACAAGGTCTGGCAAAGATATATTGGTATTTTTCATTATTTGAATATATATAGGTCATTTTATTAATTAGAATACACATATATGCATAAATTTATTTGTAACATATGCAAACACATACATATACATACATAGGTTGAGCATATTTATTAATTTCAAGTATCTCCTGGATTTTTTCTTTGTTTACTCCTTGAAAGTTTCATACATACATTTATGTTTTGATTGAATCTATCCCCCATTCCATTCCCTTGTTTGGTTTTTGAAATTGGGCCTTCAAATGTAGCTCAAGCTAAGCTCCAACTTAATATGCAGCCCAGGCTGGCTTTGAGTTTATGGCCATCTTCCTGCCTCAGCCAACCAAAAGCTGAGAGTACACGTTCTTGAATTTTGAGTCATCTCCGCAGCTGATTGATGCATCCTCCAAATCTGAAAATAAGTTAAGGACACTGGGGACTGGAGAGGTGACTCAGCAATTAAGAGCGCTTATTGCTTTTGTAGAGGAACCAGGGTCAACTCCCAGCATTTGTACGGTGGCTCACAACCATCTGTAACTACAGTTCCAGGGGATCCAACACCCTCTGCTGGCCTCCAGTAGCACAAGGCACACACATGATACACACATGCACAGGCAAAATACCCATACGGGTGAAACAAATCTAAAACCAGTTTGGGGCATTTTTCACTAATCGATGATTGAGAAGCCACACTATTTATGTGCTTTTAGGGTGATTCAGGTTAGAAGTTCAAATTTTTTTTTTTTTTTTTTTACTTAGGAAGAAAGCCAAAATGGTCAAAGCAATAAAAAATGCATGTAAATAGAAATGTCACTAAAGGGACTGAAACAGATGTACAACTCCCAAGCTAGTGGAAGACAAAGAAAAACACAAAATGTGATCAACCAAAAGGAAACAGTGTTAAATTCAAGATAAAATATAGACTGTTGGGGCTTTGTTTGGTTTTGTTAGACCTTGTGTCTTTGTTACAGGAAAGGTGACACTGACTTAAGGACATTTGAACCTAATTTATAACCGGAAGAGTTAAAAGCTTAACATGTATTTCATGTTTTTAAATGTACCACTTTATTTATTCGTGTGTGTGTGCGTGTGTGTGTGTGCCTCTGTGCATATGTGGAGAGCCAAAGGAGAACTTGCAAGAGTCATTTCTCTCCCTCTGCCTTGTGGGTCTTGGGGATTGAACTCAGGTCATCTGACCAGCCTACATGTACTTCACTTCATTAATAAAAGACTATAGATGCTTAATATCTATTATAGCCCAAACAGTTAAATGAAACAAAACATTTATCGTAAGAAGGTACTTTTCTGACTGTATGTCTGTCTTTTGTACAGTGTATATGGATAAAGACCTAACAACAAATGTACATACAGGGCTGGGGGTGCAGCTCAGTTGATAGAGTGCTTGCCCAGCATGTGTAAAGTCCTGGGTTTGGTTGCCAGGACTACAGAAGTTTGGTGGAGCATGCCTGTAATCTCAGCATTTGGAAGGTAGAGTAAGGAGCTATGTTGAAGGCTGTTCTTGACTACAAAGTAAGTTTGAGGCTACCTTGGGTTACATGAGGTCCTATCTCAAAAAAAGAAATATAAATTAGGGTCAGGAGACAGGTCTGTGAGCAAAAAGCTTACTTTGCAAGGATAAAGACTTGGATTTGATCCCCAGCACCAGCATAGAAAAACTGGGTACAGCAGCACATGCCTGTAACCCTGCACTGTGAAGGCAGAGATATGAGGATCCCTGGGGCTACCAAGGCCAGCCAGTCTAGCCAAATAGGTGAGTTCCAGTTCAGTGGAAAATGCTCTAGGGGATCCAGTAACGTCTGATCTCTATGGGCATCACATGAACAAGGTACACAGACATGCATGCAGGCAGAACACTCATATAGGTGAAATAAAAATAAACACATCTTTAAAGAAAAAGGAGGAAGAGGAAGTGGAGAGGAGAGGAACAGTTGACATCCTCATGCTCTGGATATGAGGTGTCCCCAGAAGGCTCATATTGGAAGGCTTGAATACAGTGAGAGGCACTGTTGAGAGATAACTGGGCTGCGAAGACTCTGGCTCCTTCAGTGGATTAATCTCTTGATGGAGTCATACTATAATGGCATTACTGGGAGGTAGGGGAAGTGAGGTCTCGATGGAGGTGTTATTTGTGCTTATCTGAAATGCATTCTTTGTCCCTGGCCCCCTGCGCCCTTCCTTGCTTTCTGGCCACCATGAAGTAAACAGCTTCCCTCTCCACACACCTCCTCCATGAGGCTTCTGGCTTCCCTAACAAGCCAATTGACCATGAGCAAAGCTTCTAAGATCATCAGCCAACATGAACATTCCTCCCTTCAACTGTTTCTCTCAAGGCATTTGTCACTGCGATGGGAACGTTCTTTCTGTTCCATGGAGGGCAGAGCACCCATCTGTCTATGTGACACCTCTTAGTTCTGTCTTCTGCAGTTCCCAAAGAGATTAGAATGCCTCAACACGTCGTGCTTTGTTTTGTTTCAGAGTCTCACTCTATCATCCAGGCTGGACTCAGACCCACAGGCTCAATATAGAGGTGTAAAGAATTGATCACATAGGCCAGTGATGTAGCCTGAGATCACAGGTGTGAGCTACATCACTGGCCTATGTGATCAATTCTTTACACCTCTGTATTGAGCCTGGGAAAATCACACTGTGCCAGAGCCATGATTCATAAGCACTATCTCAATAGGAGAGCTAAGGGAAGCTGGGACGGAGCGCCAGACACCGCACCAGGGTTCCCACTTGTCTGCTTTCTGCTCCTCTCAAAACCCAAACAAGCAGATAGCTCTGTTTCAGAGATAAACCCAAGGGCTAGAGAGCTGACGCTAAATAAGCAGTCAGCAAAAAGAGAAGCAAAGACGAGACGCTGTCTACAGACTGCTGCTCTTCCTGCGGGAGTGCTCCTTCAGATGCTGTCTACAGGCTGTAGTTCCTCCTTGAATCATATACTCCCCTCCTTCTAGAAAGCAAGTGGACAGACAGGATCGCATCTTCCTCACAGTCACCTGAGTGACCCACAAGACGTTCTGCTTTCCTGTCACAAGCTTTAACTGTGGACGTTTATATGTCACTGTTCACCTGGCTAGAAGTCCCCCAACCTACACAGAGTCCTCTTCTTCACTCCAAGCTGTGCGAGCCTCTGGCCTCTGATGCTCTGAAATCTTTGTCCTGTGCTTGTTCACTTACCCAGGAATAAGCAGTGTGTATTGATGAACACAAATCCCTAAAGACAATTCCCATGTCCTAAGTCTCCTCACGGCCAGGATACATGTCCAGTTCCTTGGCTCTCACAGGCACCTACTACAATAAAAGGGAAGTGAACACTCACCACACTTGACCATTCCTACTTCGTAACACTTGCGAAGTCGGCAGGCCTGGCAGCTTTTACGCCGGTTCTTGTCTATGGTACATTGATTTGTGGCTGGACAGATATAATCATTATGTCCTACAGCAAGAAAAGGGGTGATTAATGAGGCATTTTGGTTGAAGACACCAATAACACCATGCAGTAGCACCAAAAGAAGATATTTAGGTACCTTTTGGTACTAAGGATTAAACCCAAGATTTCATGCATGCCCAGCAAAGACACTACCACTGCACTATATGCCCAGCATGGTGTGTTATTGTTCTTTAAATGCTTGTTTAATTTTTTGAGGGGAGGGAGGTTTCAAGGTGAGATTTCTCTGTGTACCTCTGGCTGTCCTAGGACTAGTTCTGTAGACCAGACTGACCTTGAACTCACAGAAATCCACCTGCCTCTGCCTCCTGAGTGCTGGGACTAAAGGTGTGCACCACTACCACCCAGCTTTTTTAAAATTTAATTTAATCTGGTTTATTTAACTTTATGTTTGTTTATTCTGAGAGAGAGGGGATGTCGGTCAAAGGTCTTACAAGAATTGGTTCTCTCTCCCTTCTGTGAATCCTGGGCATTTAACTCAGGTCATCAGGCTTGGCAGCAGGTGTCCTTTTGGACTAAATCATAAAGGTTTGCTTTTATTGTTTTGTATTTGTGTCTGTGTCTGTGTCTGTGTGTCTGTGTTATGTGCAGGGGTCTATGGAGACCAGAGAGCACTGGATTCCCTAGAAAGAGTTACAGGTGGTTGTGAGCTGCCTGACATGGTAAGCAAACTTGGGTCCTCTGAAAAAGCAGCTTGCACTCTTAACAGAGCCATCACTCCAGGCTCTTATTTCTTAATTGCATTACATTAATAAACAAAGTAACCTGCACGTCTCATGTGGTGTCTGTGATGACCAGACTTATAATATCAGCAATGAGTGAAACATGTAAATGAGCAAATCATAAAATTAAACAAAAAAAAGTTGTCAAAGAACACATGGGAGAAGAGGCCATTTATAGAATATGGAATTCTAAAGCTGATGATGTAATTCAGCTGGAAGGGTGCCTTCCTGGCATACATGAAGCCTGGGCTCAACCCCCAGCATTCATAAAGCTGGGCATGGTGGCACCTGCCTTTATCAGTCAGCACTTCAGAGATAAAGACAGGAAAATCAAGTTTAAGGTCATCCTCTGCTACATACCACCTTAGTGGCCAGCCTGGGCAAAGTAAGACAATCCCATTAACAGGAAGACATGCATTTGTGGTCAAACCACAGCAAGGAAAGTAAAAGCTAGGAGCATCTTGGCCCTGGAGAGAGTCAAGGAGTCGTGATTGCAGAGCCCCTTCAGAGGGGCCAGGAGGTTGATTCATCATTGCTTGAGCTCTGGCTACTTCCTTTCCTACTCTTTATATCAGGCACAGAGTTCTACATGTATTTTAACACATGTTAAAAGGATAATTTGAAAACTAACTCCAAATGTATAACATAATATATAATTCAACTTAAATAAATATGTAAAATACAATGTTTTTCAAGCTTTTCTTAGTCTGTTTTTCCTTGAGTAAGTATACTTACTCAAACTATGGTTAATTTGATTTTTATTGCAAAAGATAACTTCTCTCAGCTTGAGAAATAGGGCAACAATTAAGAGCACTGATTGCTCTTCCAGAGGACCTAGGTTCAATTCCTAGCACTTACATGAAGACCTACAACCTAATGTAATTCTGGTTCCAGGGAGTCCAATGCCCTCTTCTGGTCTCTGAGGAGAACAGGTATAGATATATATGCAGGCAAAACACTCATGCACATATCAAAAAAAAAAAAAAAAAACCCACAAAAACACAAAACACTTTTTTAAAAGCCCTTTTTAAAAAGATAGCTTCTTGGGGACTGGAGGATGGTGGAGAGGCAGGGCTGAAGAGAGGTGGATACCCAAACAATGGCTGGCCAGTCTCACTAATCAGTGTTGCCCAGGTTCGCCAAAGAAACTATCTCATAAATGAAGGTGAACAGCAATAGAAAACAACACCCAATGTTGACCTCTGGCTTCCACACATGTGCACATGCATCCCTCACAAACAAATATACACATACAACCACAAGATAACATCTCTAATATGGCCACACACACACACACACACACACACACACACACACACACAGAGGGAGAGAGAGAGGAGAGAGAGAAATGGGAACTTAGATGAACGCATGTCTATGCATATGTGTACACTGATATATTCATAAATCTGTTCTCTAACTCCATCCCCTGAGAGGACCTGGTGTAAGGATCTTCTAAGGGCAGTGAGAAAGGAGCACTCAGATCTTTTATTACTGTAAGGGGAATCAGGGTTTCATGAAAAAACAGCTTATTTCAGAACTAGGACAGGTATCATGCACAGCGAGCCTGAAACATTTTGTGCTAGGAAGGATAGCAATGCCCAAAGAATTGCAGGAACATATTGAAAAGACAGGAGTAAGCTTAAGGACTCCTGCTGGCCAGATCTGAGATAATGTGAGCCTCAAAAAATAATGATAACAACCTAATACAGAAAATAAGAACCCGTAAGTCATACTGATACAGATTAATTCATTGACTTAATGAAGAATACCATTATTTACTTGGGCTCAAAAGGTTTCCCAGCAAAAACATTCTTTACAAAGGGGGAAAAGGGAGTACTTTTACAGAATGGATGCCTGGCAGCCAGTGCCTTAATCAAATCATCAAAATGAGGCCACTAGCAACAGAACAAATTGAAATCATGTACCACTTGAAAGGAGCTAATGAACACAGCAGCAGCTCTGGGCTGTCCCTACTAATAATGCAAACAGAGTCTAGGACAGAAGATCAGACAAAGCCAGAGAGAGGGACCTTATGCAAGATGGTGGCTCAGTCTTTCAAAGTTTCATGATAATGGAAATAATACAAGCTCTGACAGTCTTCCAAAGTTTCATGATAATGGAAATAATACAAGTTCTAAAGGACAGAGACTAGAGACATGACACCTAAACTCACAGACAGTTCCTGCTCTTGAGCCCTGTGCTGGGGGGAGAGCATTCGAAAACCTCCGAGTCTGAGCATTTAGGCGTGTGTTAGTTTCCCACCTGACACCCATTTGACAATGGCTGCATAGGAAACACGTGTTAAAGTATTCTGAGTGATGAACTATGTTGACAACATTTCCCCCAAACAGTTCCGGGGTAAAAGTCTTTTTTATATCATACATATTTTAAGTATGAGATTCCTTAAAAACAAATACAGACTGTAAAGCACATCTGTAATCACAGCACTTGGGAGTGGAAAGACTTCAGGGCTAGCCTGGGCTACATAACAGTAAGACACTAAAATATAAATAACTAAATGTTTCTATTGGCTTTCTTTTAAAAATATGGCTTACTATTCACTCAACTGCTATAGCTCAAGGTTTTCCTCGTTCATTGAGTTACTGGTAGAGTCAGTACCTTGTCATCGGACTCGGGAACCATGCCTTGCTGTCTGTTGACTGCACACTGCCCTTGCTCCTACAGGCAAGTCCAGCTCGTTGTTTAGTACACAGAGTGCTGTCAGCTTTCTTCCAAGCCAGGAAGAATGCATCTGCGATTCCAAATTTCTCTCTAAACTATGTGATGGAGTCTTTTATAAGCCAGGCATGGCGGTGTACACTTTGAATCCCAGCACTCCAGAGGCAGGTGGATCGCTGTGAGTTCAAAGCCACAAAGCTGGTTTTGTGTTCTAAAGAGTGAATTCCGGGCCAACTAGGGCTGAATAGTGAGACATATATGTTGTGTGTGTGTGTGTGTGTGTGTGTGTGTGTGTGTATGTGTATGTGTGTATGTATGTAGTATATATGCACAGATGTATATATATATATATGTATATATATACATATGCACAGATAGCTATAAGATTTATATGTGCTTGTGTGAATACCTACATGTGTATATGTGCACTACGTGTGTACTAGTGCCCATAGAAGCCAGAAAAGGGTATCAGGTATCCTGGGAACAGAGTTACAGACAATGGTGAGCTGCCTGGTGGTTGCTAGGAATTGAAACCCTGTCCTTTGGAAGAGCAGCCAGGATTTTTATATATGAATTTGAAGGAAAGTACAGAGGCATGTGAGAGGGACTGAAGAGAGTAAAGGAAAGGAGGAAAAGGATGCAATTATAATCTCAAAAAATTATATATATATATATATATATATATATGCATACATATATATGAAGATATTTTTGCCTTAAAAATGGACCAGAAGGTTCAATAATATAAACATGCTTAGTAAAAACAGCCTAGAAAATATTACCCCAAAAGAACCCTATCAATGAGTTAAAAAAAATAGAATCCAAGGGTGAATTAATTTGTTTGGTTGGTTTTGGGTCCATTCAGTTACCAGAACTGGATATGATGGTGCATGCCTGTAAATCTTAGCATTTGAGAGGTGGAGACAGGAGGATCCAGAGTTCAAGGTCATCCTAAACTACATAGCAAGTTCAAGGCCAACCTGACCTGTCTCTAAAACAAAACAACAGCAAATGCCACTGTCAGAGCACATGCTGCTCCACACTAACTAAAGGAGGGACAGTTCAACACTAAATTAGATGCAAAAAAGTACTTCAGATGGGCGTGGTGGTGCACACCTTTAATCTCAGCACTCTGGAAGCAGAGCCAGGCAGATCTCTGTAAGTTCAAAGCTAGCCTGGTCTACAGAGCAAGTTCCAGGACAGGCTCCAAACCTACACAGATAAACCCTGTCTTGGGAGTGGGGATATAAAACTTCATAAGAAAAAAGTGAGTTTTTACAATAAGAAATATTGTCTTACAATAAGAAAAGGGTTATCTTATTATTTGCGACATTATTGGGTTTATCTAAATAACATGTCACCCAGCTTTGTGATATAAGAGGACAGCAAGGATCAGTGTGAACTCAGAGAAAGGAGAAAGAGGGAGGAGGAGGACAGGGTGCACACTGTGAGCACATGTTCAGAAGCCAGAAACACCTGGGGAAAATGAATGAAACTGTATAAGATGTACAAATAAAGCCAAGTCATGAAGAACATGGTTGACTCTGGTACTGGGAAGGCTGAAGCAGGAAGACTGTGAGCTAATGT